GGACAGAACTTTAGCCCTGGGGGGGGGGGGTTGACGTGGGGGGGGTTTGGCCCACACAACCCAAGCATTGATCAACGGAAAACACCCCGGAAAAAAAAAAAAAAAAAAAAAAAAAAAAAAAGTTTGCTGTGGTATTGACCACAGAAGTGTTAGAGCATTCTATATTCAGCCTGGCCTATTCCCAGATGATTTCAGAGGATTAATAATTGGGCTGTGTGCAGTGGTTCATGCCTGTAATTCCAGCACTTTGGGAGGCCAGGGCGGGTGAATCATCTGAGGTCAGTTCAAGACCAGCCTGACCAACATGGTGAAACCCTGTCTATACTAAAAATACAAAAAATTAGCTGGGCGTGGTGGCATGTGCCTGTAATCCCAGCTACTCGGGAGGAGGCTGAGGCAGGAGAATCACTGGAACCCAGGAGGCAGAGATTGCAGTGAGCTGAGGTGACACCACTGTACCCCAGCCTGGGTGACAGAGCAAGACTCTGTCTCAAAAAAAAAAAAAAAAAAAAAAATAGGCCAGGTGTGGTGGCTCATGCCTGTAATTCCAGCACTTTGGGAGGCTGAGGCCGGTGGATCACCTGAGGTCACAAATCAGGAGTTCAAGACCACCCTGGCCAACATGGTGAAACCCTGTCTGTACTAAAAATACAAAAACTAGCTGGGAGTGGTGGTGGACACCTATTATTCCAGCTACTTGGGAGGCTGGGGCAGGAGAATGGCTTGAACCTGGGAGGCAGAGGTTGCAGTGACCCGAGATCGTGCCATTGCACTCCAACCTGGGCAGAAAGAGCAAGACTCTGTCTCAAAAAAAGAAAGAACAGATGTGGCCAGTAGATGGGTTTGGGAGTGTTTGCTGTTTGGTTGCTCAGAGCTGTCAGCAGTGTCCTGGAGAATCAGCATGTTTGTTTATCCTGCACTTTTCTGGAGAAAAATGTCCCCCAAGACACGAAGAAATGAGGTTTCGTGAGATAATCAAGTTATGGTTGGCATTTGCAGATACAGTGATGAATGTCTTGCAGATCCCGATTGAATTCTCGCCAGAAGTGGAAGGATTGCTTTTGGGTGCTTAATCCAGTTATCCTGCTTTGGGTTGGTCTCTCTTTGAGGTTATTTACTCAACCGGAACTCAAAACAGTGGGAGCGTTGCAGACCCAGGTATGTCAAATCTCAGGGCACTGCCAGGAGAAGGGATTTGCTGCCGCCTCCCGCACGAGCTGTGGATTTGAATCTGTGTGCAGGAGCCAGACCTGTGTTTCCATGGGAGCTCCTTGAACGGCGTGTGTGGGAGAGGCAACCACATATTGACAGCTGTTGTTCTTTGTGGTTGATTTCAGGATGTGGGTAGTCTGTGCTCTGCACAGACCTTAGAAACAATTATAACTCTAGGCTACATAGTGAGAAGCAGCAGTGAGTGAAGAGTGATCGGACTTAAACCCTTCCTCATTAGCCTAGTGGCCGATTTAGCAAGGTTAATGGAAACCCAGGGTGGCTGAAGTGTCACCAGAGGTCTGGAAAGCACCCCGTGCATCAGCCTGCGTAAGGCGGTGTCAGGAAGCCAGGACAGATGAGGGGAGCCCGAGGAGGAGGAGCAGAGGAACAGTTTACAGAAGTGATCATGCACGTATGTCCCCAAGGGCGGAGGAGGAGCCCGAGGGGACCTCAGGATGTTTGCCCGGTCTGGAATTCTCGGCCGCCTGCACCAATTCTTCTCCCATTGGATGTGACGGCCACAGCAAAATCGAGGCTAATTCTGTAGCTACTCAGATTTCCAGTTGGAATGCAACTGTTGAAGAGGGTAGACCCCACTGTTAGCTCTTGAGCTGTAGTAGTCCAGGCAGCTGGCAGGATTCGGGCACAGGTAGCTGGCGACTGGGTTTGGAGTCATCCCTTTCTTCGCATCTTCTCTGGCGTCCTTCCCTTGTTCCCGACCTTCTTGCAGAGCTTCCTAATTGGTTCCTGTCTTAAACTGTTTCCTTTCTAACCAGAGCTCTGGAGTGATGCCGGTGTTTGTAAAGAAACTTTCTCCACGCGTTTTATGTATGTTTGATGACTCTCTGTTGCATTATGGGGTGGAATAAAATGGATTTTGGATTGAGGCTGACTTGGGTGTAAATTCGCACTTGTTCATTTGTACGCAGTGACACAGCTCTTTGACTGCTGCGTCACTGTTTTTTTCTGCTGTGAAAAAGGAAAACCACCCAGCAGTCAGCGGAACGCCTGGGCCTGGTTAGCAGCGGCAGCAGCAGTGGGGGTGGTGGCTTTTGCTGCTGCTGTTGTTATTACAGGATCTTTAGAGCTCTTTTCTTTTGGAGACAGAGTCTTGCTCTTTTAGCCAGGCTGGAGTGCAGTGGCATGATCTCGGCTCACCTCAACATTCTGCCTCCTGGGTTCAGGTGATTCACCTGCCTCAGTCCCCTGAGTAGCTTGGGACTACAGGTGCGTGCCACCACGCTTGGCTGATTTTTGTATTTTTAGTAGAGATGGGGTTTCACCATGTTGGCCAGGCTGGTCTCAAACTCCTGACCTCAGGTGATCTCAGCCTCAGCCTCTCAGAGTGCTGGGGTTACAGGCGTGAGCCACTGTGCCCGGCCTGGATCTTAGAGCTTTTCTTCTGTTGCTGGCCACTCCTCCTCAGTCGCTTCTGTGGGACATTTCTCTGGTTGCAGAGTATTGGGTGTACCTCGAGGCTCAGACTTGGGAGGTCTGGCTTCTTGGGAGAACTTCTAGGGTATGGCTGGCCCTCCTTCATGGCCTGCCCCCTTCCATATCTGTCTCTCGAGCTGCTGCCTGGATACCTCTGTCTGAGTATCTAATGACCATCTCAGATTTACCATGTTAAAACTAAGACCCTTCATACCTGCTCATCCTGTAGTCTTTCCCCTTGTAGTAAATGACAGTTCCAGTTGCACAGGCCACAGATCTTGGAGTTGTCCTTGACACTCCCCTTCTCCCATGCCCTGCACCTAAATCCATTGGCAAATTCTGTGAGCCCGACTTCCAGAGTCACATGCCCCCTCTGACATGTTTCACTCTCGTGCTGCTAGTCTGCTCTGGCCTCCTGGAGACTCCCTGCCCTCCTTTGCTTCCCTGCATCTGTGCTCAATTCAACTCAGCAGCACAGTGACTTTTACTTTTTTTTTCTTTACATAATAGAGATCCAAGTCAAAGCAGAATGCTTTTTAAAAGACCAAGGTCATCTTTTCGCTGCTCCAAAGCCTCCAATACCTCCCATTTGGAGCAGAGACTAGCAAAGACTTTGAAGTGGCCTGCAAGGCCCTTTATGATGTGGCCTGGCCCCTTGTCCCTTGTGACCTCGTTTGTAGTAGCCCCAGCCCATCTGCTCCAGTCACACAGGTGCTGGCAGTCCCTGTCATAGGCTGAGCTCCTTCCCACCCCAGGGCCTTTGCTGTTGTTCCTTGTCCGTCGGGCCCTAAATGATTACTTGCAGAATAGGAGAGTGCACTGAATAATTTCCACACATGCACATATCGGATGAGAGTGTAGCTTCCTCCACTAGTTGGCTTGGTCCTGCTGCAAGCTCCTCTTTCTCTGCAGGGACCCGGCTAAGCTGTGCCCCTTCCTGATGGCGCTGCTCCTGCACCTCGCCCCTCACCCCGACTTGTGTTGCCCGTCGGCTTTGCTTTTCCTGTCCTACTGTGTTATCCTCTCTGTATCCCTGTATCGCGAGCAGTTGGGTGATACTATTACAACTGCTTCCAGGCTACCGGCCACCTTTTCAATTCCTACGTCATGCACTTTTGAACATGTGTCCCAAGTTGGCCCCTGTTCTTTCCCCTGTAGATGCTATTTATCTGGAGATTCCTATGGTAATGGTGCCCTGTAGAAGGTCATGTGCTGGGGTGAAGCTTGTGGCTGCTCATCAGTGCCGAGGGCAAGGCCTGCCTATGCACCTCAGGTGCTTAAGAAATCATAGTTACCCTCACTGCTTTTCCCCTGTCCTTTTGATGGATAGCTCAAGGATGGTTTAGTGTTATGACATTTGGTTCTTTTTCATTTGATTGTGGATGTTTGCCTCAAGTTTTGAATATATGATAATGAACTTTTATTTTTAGCTTTTTGAGACAGTCTCACTCTGTCCCCCAGGCTGGAGTACAGTGGTACAATCTCCGCTCACTGCGACCTCCGCTTCCTGGGCTCTAGGGATTCTCGTGCCTCAACCTTCTGAGTAGCTGGAATTACAAGCATGTGCCACCACACCCTTGAATTTTTAGTACAGACAGGGTTTTGCCATATTGGCCAGGCTCGTCTTTAACTTCTGACCTCAGGTGATCCATCTACCTTGGCTTCTTAAAGTGCTGGGATTATAGGCATGAGCCACTGTACCCGGCCTGACAATGAACTTTTTGGTTTCTCAGTGAAAGTTTGGATAACTTAAAGGATAAAAGTATTATGTGCTCCTGAAAAAATTTCAAGCAGACTAGAGGGTATAAAATGAAAAGTTAAAGTGCTCATGCTCTGGAATGAAGAGTAGCTACTTTTATGTCTTTTGTGAATCTTTTGAAATTACTGTTTCTTAACATGTGCTTTTAGATATTAGAAATGTTGATTTGTCAAAAAACCTGTTGTCGTCTTGGGATGAAGTGATACACATTGCTGATCAGCTCAGACACCTGGAAGTCCTTAATCTCAGGTACGAACTTCTGGTTGCCGAATTTCACAATTAAACTCATCTCTCCTTGCTTCCTCCCAGCGTCTCTGTGGAAATGAGGTAGGGAGCCGGAGGGTGAAGGCTGCCACCGGATGATCCAAGGTATCAGGAAGAAATTACTCAAGCAGATAGTGAGGGTATGGAAGTCCTCAGTAAGGTTTTCCTTTTAATGAAAAGCAGCCCCAAATTGTTTTTCTTTCTAACAAAGAGCAGCCTGAGAAATCCAGCTGCAGACATAGATGCCGCCAGCTGTGCCAATCATGTTCAAGGTGGCGGCTCCCTCTTCCCTTCTCCAGCCATGTGTACAGTAAGCAGACAAGATGGCGCCAGCCAAAGGGCAAGTTCATTGACACAATAAGATTAGGGTGGGGTGGCCAGCCTTCCCCGCTAAGTAAACATCATGCCTGATGGAAGCAATCTGTGAGCGCTTGGTAAATCAGACACTGCCTTCTCCAGCGGAACTCTAAACTCTGTGCATCTGCTGCCAGCTTGCCTTTTTCCTCTTGGAAGTCCCCTCTCTCTCACTAGGGAGAGAGCTGTTTTCCTTTTTCTTTCTCTTTCTCTTGCCTGTTAAATCTCCGCTCCTGAACTCCTCATGTGTGTCCTTGTCCTAAGTTTTCCTGGCGTGAGAAGAGGAATGCCAGGTATGTACCGCAGACAGTGTGGCCCCTTCACTAGTTGACATTTTTACACAGGCAGATTTTGGTTTACTTGAATTTTTCTAAATTTAAGGACACATTTAATCTTTAAGGAATCTATATATATATATATGTGTGTATATATATGTGTATATATATGTGTGTATATATATATATATATAATGTGTATATATATATGTATATATGTATATATATATATATATATATTTTTTTTTTTTTTTTTGAGATGGAGTCTTGCTCTGTCGCCTAGGCAGGAGTGCAGTGGTACAATCTCAGCTCACTGCAACCTTTGCCTCCTGGGTTCAAGTGATTCTCCTGCCTCTGCCTCCTGAGTAGCTGGGATTACAAGTGTGTGCCACCATGCCTGATTAATTTTTTGTACTTTTAGTAGAGATAGGGTTTTGCCATGTTAGTCAGGCTGGTCTCGAACTCCTGACCTTAGGTTATCTGCCCACCTTGGCTTCCCAAAGTGCTAGGATTCTAGGCATGAGCCACTGCACCTGGCCTAGGCTTCCCCTTTCGTAGTTGAACCAGTTTTGCATAGATAGGTGAATGTTCAGTACCGTATAGCAGGTAGACAGGCCTGAATGATTTGTGCCCCCAAACAGAGCAAATGAGGGTAATTCAGCCCATGGTGTCTCATCTTCTGGAAATAATGGGCTTGTGGGGTTTTTTGGTTCTTTTTTTGAGACGGAGTCTCACTCTGTCGCCAGGTTGGAGTGCAGTGGCTTGATCTCGGCTCACTGCAGCCTCCGTCTCCCAAGTTCAAGCGATTCTCCTGCCTCGGCCTCTTGAGTAGCTGGGACTACAGGCGCGGACCACCACGTCCAGCTAATTTTAGATGGGGTTTCACTGTGTTGACCAGGCTGGTCTCGATCTCTTGACCTCATGATCCGCCCATGTCAGCCTCCCAAAGTGCTGGGATTTCAGGTGTGAGCCACTGTGCCAGACCGGGCTTGTATTTTTTAATAATATCTTCTTGCAAAGTGACTGTCAAGATTGAGTAGTTTCTGAGATTGGGCTCTTAAGAAAGAACTTAAAGGGCAATAATTTTACCCGTCCTCCTAGCCAAAGGGCAGACTGTTTAGAGAAGCAAAATTCTAGCCCACAATTTAGTGTGTCATTAAGACTCTGGAGAATGGGGGACTGTTTTGCCACATCCAGAGCAATGCCTGAGTGTTGGATTTAGGAAGCTGCAGCCACATACAGCCGCCTTTATCCTGTGAAAGCATCTTTATACAACTGATACCAAAAAGTTTTTACGTTGTAAATGCTAAAAAATTAGGTAGTCTTGATTCACTTGAATCATTAAAAAAGTGATTTATTTATTTATTTATTTATTTAATTTATTATTTTTTTTGAGACAGAGTTTCACTCATGTTACCCAGGCTGGAGTGCAATGGCGCGATCTCGGCTCACCGCAACCTCCGCCTCCTGGGTTCAGGCAATTCTCCTGCCTCAGCCTCCTGAGTAGCTGGGATTACAGGCACGTGCCACCATGCCCAGCTAATTTTTTGTATTTTTAGTAGAGACGGGGTTTCACCGTCTTGACCAGGATGGTCTCGATCTCTTGACGTCGTGATCCACCCGCCTCGGCCTCCCAAAGTGCTGAGATTACAGGCTTGAGCCACCGCGCGCCCGGCAAAAAAGTGATTTTTTAAAAAATGTAGCCAGGCGCGGTGGCTCAAGCCTGTAATCCCAGCACTTTGGGAGGCCGAGGCGGGTGGATCACGAGGTCAAGAGATCGAGACCATCCTGGTCAACATGGTGAAACCCCGTCTCTACTAAAACTACAAAAACTTAGCTGGGCATGGTGGCACGTGCCTGTAATCCCAGCTACTCAGGAGGCTGAGGCAGGAGAATTGCCTGAACCCAGGAGGCGGAGGTTGCGGTGAGCCGAGATCGCGCCATTGCACTCCAGCCTGGGTAACATGAGTGAAACTCTGTCTCAAAAAAAAAAAATGTAATTCCATTTTAAGGTCGAAACAAATCAAACTCCTTAGATTGAAGCCCAAATTGTTGCTTTTAGTGACTATTTCAGTTGGGTTTACTGTATAGAAATAAGTATATTGTATCTTCTTTTTCTACACAGTGAAAATAAACTAAAATTTCCCTCCGGTTCAGCACCTCTAACTGGAACGTTTTCTGCACTGAAGGTGTTAGTCCTCAACCGAACAGGAATAACGTGGGCTGAGGTAATCGTCTTTATTTGATTTATTACACATTAATAAGCAATTAAAAATGTTTGGTTTAGCTGGGCATGGTGGCTCATGCCTGTAATTCCAGCACTTTGGGAGGGTGAAGTGGGTGGATCACCTGATGTCAGGAGATCACCTGATGTCAGGAGGCTGAAGTGGGTGGATCACCTGACGTCTTGAGCCTGGGCAACAAGAGTGAGACCCTGGCTGAAGAAAAAAAAAAAAGTTTAAGGTTGGGGGTGGTGGCTCACGCCTGTAATCCCAGCACTTCGTGAGGCTGAGGCAGGCAGATCACCTGAGGTCAGGAGCTTCAGATCAGCCTGGCCAACGTGGTGAAACCCTGTCTCTACTAAAATACAAAAATTAGCCAGGCATGCGCTTATAATCCCAGCTACTCGGGAGGCTGAGACAGAATTGCTTGAACTCGGGAGGTGGAGGTTGCAGTGAACTGAGTTGGTGTCACTGCACTCCAGCCTGGGTGACAGAGCAAGACTCCCATCTCCAAAAAAAAAAAAAAAAAAAAAACAACAAAAGAAGTTTGGTTTCATAAAGAATTGACGTACAACTCTGTCTTCATATTAATCATCTTAATATCTATTAATAGATAACAGAATTTTTTTTTTTTTTTTTTTTTTTTTTTCTGAGACAGAGTCTTGCTTTGTTGCCCGGGCTGGAGTGCAGTGGTGCGATCTTGGCTCATTGCAACCTCTGCCTCCTGGGTTCAAGTGATTCTCCTGCCTCAGCCTCCTGAGTAGCTGGGACTACAGGTGTGTGCCACCACGGCTGGCTAATTTTTTTGTATTTTTAGTAGAGATGGTGTTTCACTGTGTTAGCCAGGATGGTCTCAATCCCCTGACCTCGTGATCTGCCTGCCTCAGCCTCCCAAAGTGCTGGGATTACAGGCGTGAGCCACTGTGTCCGGCCAACAGAATTCTTTAAACTGCCTTATAAAAGAGCATTGTAGTTGAGTTCTCCATCTAGGCGTCCATGTCCTCCCTCTGCTCATTTTGACTTGTTCTGATGCCTTTATAAACAGTGGTGCTCCATTGTGGTATGCAACAAACATGAGCTTTGACAAGCCTTAGTGTTAGCTATTGACTAGCTTCCTGAGTTTTCCTGTGAGTTTTTTTAGAACAGAAGTCAAACAGCAGAAAGGTTCTCACATCCTTATCTTGTTAGAAGTTCAGCTCTTGGAATCCACTGTTCGTTTTATACAGCGGGACGCAGAAGTAGATTTGTGGGTCCTTGCACAGCAGCATTTGGGACTTATATCTGGCACTACTATTTCCTGTCAGAGGTGTACTGACTTCACACACCCAGAGCATTCCACTGTCAAACGAAGGCAAGGGTGTGGAAATACATTCCCAGCCACGTTCACCCGGGAAGTGCCACAGAGGCCGCTCAATGAGAGACAAGTGGGCCCCTTGTGCCCTCAGTATGCCCATGGCCATGGAGCCTCTTCCCTAGGGCTCTACCTCTGTGAGGCGCTTACTCCCTCTCCAGGTGTAGATGTGGCTGGAAGACAAGAAGGGGCCAGGTAGTGGGGCTCCTACTTGCAATCCCAGCACTTTGGGAGGCTGAGGTGGGAGGATCATTTGAGCCCAGGAATTTGAGGCTGCAGTGAACTAGGATTGCACCTTGGCTCTCCAGCCTGGGTAACAAAGCAACACCCACCCACCCTCCAAATAAACCAGGAGGGGCACACAGAAATTCAGGTGGTGGAGATGGCAGTAAAGTTCCAGTGAGAACATTTAGAAATAGTTTATGAGGCTGGGCATGGTGTCTCTTGCCTATAATTCCAGCCAGCACTTTGGGAGGCCCAGGCAGGAAAATCACTTGGGGCCAGGAGTTCAAGACCAGCCTAGGCAACATAGATCCTGTAGATGCCATATGTATATAAAATATTATGTATTATTATTATATGTATATATATTTTTGAGATGGAGTCGTGATCTCTTGTCCAGGCTGGAGTGCAGTAGTGTGATCTTGGCCTACCACAACCTCTGCCTCCCAAGTTCAAGTGATTCTCCTGCCTCAGCCTCCCGAGTAGCTGGGACTACAGGCGTGTGCCACCATGCCTGGCTAATTTTTGTAATTTTTTTTTGAAACAGAGTCTCACTCTGTCGCCCAGGCTGGAGTGCGGTGGCACAATCTTGGCTCACTGCAGCCTCCACCTCCTGGGTTCAAGCAGTTCTCTGCCTTAGCCTCCGAGTAGCTGGGATTGCCAGTGACTGCCACCACCAGGCTAATTTTTGTATTTTTAGTAGAGATGGGGTTTCACCATCTTGGCCAAGCTGCTCTTGAACTCCTGACCTCGTGATCTCTACCCACTGTGGCCTCCCAAAGTGCTGGGATTACAGGCGTAAGCCACTGCTCCTGGCCTAATTTTTGTATTTTTAGTAGAGATGGTGTTTCACTATGTTGGCCAGGCTGGTCTTGAACTCCTGACCTGCTGATCCGCCTGCCTTGGCCTCCCAAAGTGCTGGGATTACAGGCATGAGCCACTGTACCTGGGCTATTATATATTTATATATATATATAATTATATATATAATTTTTTGTAAAAAAAAAAAGTTAGGCCCATGTGCAGTGTGGCAGCAGCAGGCACAGCCTCGACATGCAGAAAGACACCAGCACATTCGTGGACCTGTGCATGCTGCAGAAATGCTCCACCAGCAACTGTGTCATCAGTGGTAAGGACCACGCATCCATGTGGATGAACGTGGCCGAGGCCACCAAGGTCATGAGCAGGTTTAACATCCACTTTAAAACCTGTGCTTATCTGCAGGACTGTTTGCAGGATGGTTGAGTCAGATGATTCCATTCTTCGATTGGGCACAGCCAAGGACATCATCTCAAATAACTACCTTTTTTTGCATTGTCTTTTTTTTTTTTAATATTTACTCATGTTTTTTTTGAGACGGAGCCTCACTCTGTTGCCTAGGCTGGAGTGCAGTGGTGTGATCTTGGCTCACTGCAACCTCCACTTCCTGGGCTCAAGCGATTCTCCTGCCTCAGCCTTCCAAGCAGTTGGGATTATAGACGAGCGCCACCACGCCTGGCTAATTTTGTATTTTTAGTAGAGATGGGGGTTTTACCATGTTGGCCAGGCTGGTCTCAAACTCCCAACCTCAAGCGATCCATCCGCCTCAGCCTCCCAAAGTGCTGGGATTACAGGCATGAGCCACTGTGCCCAGCCTCAAAGAACTTTTGACTGGAGAGAATCATGGATGTGGAATATTTGTCATAAATACATAATGAAAACTTAAAAAAATGTATCAAAAAAATAATAAAAGAAGAAATAATTGTTGAGAAATTTTGTCTGATTAGCATATCCTTTATAAACCCAGATTGGCATTTAGAATTGAGGAAAGGTGTTTAACATCAATTTACTTCTTTTGGTTAAGCAAATTCTATCAAATAATAATATGTGCAGTTGGCCAGGCATGGTGGCTCACGCCTGTAATCCCAGGACTTTGGAAGGCCGAGGTGGGTGGATCACCTGAGGTCAGGAGTTCGAGAGCAGCCTGGCCAACATGGAGAAACCCTGTCTCTACTAAAAATACAAAAAATTAGCTGGGTGTGGTGGTGATTGCCTGTAATCCCAGCTGCTGGGGAGGCTGAGGCAGGAGAATAGCTTGCACCTGGGAGGTGGAGGTTGCAGTTAGCCGAGGTCATGCCATTGCACTCCAGCCTGGGCAACAAGAGTGAAACTCCATCTCAAAAAAAAAAAAAAAAAAAAAAAAAGACAAAAAATATGTCATAATGATATGTGCAGTTCACATCTCCTGTGCCACCTTGTAGCTGCATTACCCAAACCATGCATTGACCTCTACCTCCAAGGCCTCAAAGTGCCCGCAGTATGTGCTCCCACAGCATTAAAATACACCCTTTACCGTTTTATTTACCACCCGTCCACCATTCCAGGCCTGAAACGTAGCCTTATGAACTGTCTACAAGGCACTTTTTTACTGAAATGGTAACTGAGCTGAATCCTCCTTGTGGTTCCTGTGAACACCCAGGAAGAAACAGCCAGCCGAGGATTCTGAACCTCGCTTCTTTTCCAGGTGCTGCGGTGTGCCGCGGAGTGCCCAGGCCTTGAGGAGCTCTACCTCGAGTCTAACGAGATTTTCATTTCCGAAAGGTAACAGGGCTTACCTAAAGGCATCTGTCCCCGTTTAGTCATTATGAATAAATAGATACATGTATTATATCTACCTTAACTTTTAGAAGGATTTGCAAACAAGAATTACGAAAAATGCTTATTATTCATTGCCTTTGCAAATTAGAATTTCACTAATTGGTTCTAATCAAGGGAAACTCATCAGAATTAAATACTTGTGAAGACATGAGTTAATATTAGCTTTACATCAATGTGTTAACTTGCTGTTTCTAAATGGAAGTTCTGTAGGATATGCTATAAGGATTAAATAATATATGTTTAATTAGCATCATCTGTTTAAGGTCATTGTACCAAATTCTGTGTAAAAGCTTTTTCTCTTAAATATGTTGCTTCATCTTCCTCTTGTTATTATGTAAAATTAACCTAACTGGGAAAATTTACAATAGATTCTGAATTAAAGGATTCAGCATCTTAAAGATTTTAGTGTACAGAAGGGTTTCATTATGTAGGCAAATGCAAGTTGTTTTTTTTTTTTTGAGAGACGGAGTTTCGCTCATGTTACCCAGGCTGGAGTGCAATGGCGCGATCTCGGCTCACCGCAACCTCCGCCTCCTAGGTTCAGGCAATTCTCCTGCCTCAGCCTCCTGAGTAGCTGGGATTACAGGCACGCACCACCATGCCCAGCTAATTTTTTGTATTTTTAGTAGAGACAGGGTTTCACCATGTTGACCAGGATGGTCTCTATCTCTTGACCTCGTGATCCACCCGCCTCGGCCTCCCAAAGTGCTGGGATTACAGGCTTGAGCCACCGCGCCCGGCAATTTTTTGTATTTTTAGTAGAGACGGGGTTTCACCATGTTGACCAGGATGGTCTCGATCTCTTGACCTCGTGATCCACCCGCCTCGGCCTCCCAAAGTGCTGGGATTACAGGCTTGAGCCACCGCGCCCGGCCAGGTTTTTTAAATTTAACCTTATTTTGACATAATTGTAGATTCACGTGAAGTTTTATAAGAAATAATACACAGACCTTCCCCAGTAGTCAAGACTCGAACTACCTGCCCGCTGACGTTATTTTTATAATAGATCAAGAGGTCAACAGCAGGCGTGGGGAGCCCAGTCTTCTGTGCTCAGGTCCTCATGCTGCAGACGCCCCCTAGAGGAGCATTCCTGCCCTTCCAGCATTCCCTGCAGCACAGCCGGACGGGACAGGCAGCAGCCCAGGAGAGGCTCTATGCACGGATTTCAAAATCTGTTTTCCACGCTCTGTCCTTACAGTTTTTTGGTAATACTGTGGTCTATTTATACAAATATTAAAATCCTGTTTATAGAAAAAAAAAAATAATACACAGAGATCCCCTGTATCCAGGTTCCCCCATTGGTGACAAGTTACAAAACTGATATGGGATTACGTGCTCGGTGTGACAGTGATGGAGTTGGGTATGTGTGCATCTCCACGGGGACCACTCAGGGTCTTTGACAGTCGCATCCTCTTGCCTCTTACTCCCAGCCCTTCAGCACACCAAATGCAGGTATTTTAATGCGTTATCTTTGAAAATGAGAGATAAATTCATGGTGAAAAACATTTTATTTTCCATACAGGCCAACAGATGTTCTCCAGACAATCAAGTTATTAGACCTTTCCTCTAATCAATTAATTGATGAAAATCAGCTATTTCTGATAGCCCACCTGCCCAGGTAATTTACCCCTAAATGCGTGATACAATAGCGTTGTCAATTCTTAGTGAAGGAATTTTTGTATGCTCTGTATGCTTTCTCAATAGAAACGTGATCACGATGATGGAATTTCTAAATTGAGTAATTCCCTTTGGGAAATTTTCATTTGAATTCATTTAGAGAATTTACTTGTGAACCCTGTATAATGTGGACTCTGTCTGTACCAGATAATCTGACCCTGGTGAGAATGCCAGCGGTCTTCATTCACTGAACTTCACCAGGAGACCATGTCTCTTTCCTGAGAGCCAGTTAGCACCTGACAAAGCAGTAGGCACTGAAGAGCCATCAAGTGACTGTAGAATCATTAGAATGTAGTATCAGGAGTTCACGTTGCTTGTCCTAAGTTGGACTTTATGGTTTCTAAGTATTTTACATGGGATTAAAAACCCAGCGTATAGGAAAAACTTTATGACCCTCATCTGGTTGATACCCCGTAGCATTTTATATTGTTTTTTGTAATCAAATTTTACATCTTAAATTTCAGGTTAGAACAATTAATCCTCTCTGACATTGGAATTTCTTCGATACATTTTCCGGATGCTGGAATCGGTATATAAGATTGGTACAGTTCCACCTCGCCCCCCATACTTCAGCTGCTTCCTTCACTTCTACTGTGTAACTGAATTCTCCTTTTTATAGGGTGCAAAACATCCATGTTCCCGTCCTTGCGGTACCTTGTAGTAAATGACAATCAGATATCACAAGTAAGAGCTGCTTCGGAGTACGCACTGCACATTATTGCTTCTTTCCACTCTAGTGGCAGAGTTTGTAGGTTCCTTCTACTAAAAAACTAAAAAAAAATTTTTAAATCAAAGAGAAATGCCAGGGCGGGTGCAGTGGCTTACACCTGTAATCCCAGCACCTTGAGAGGCTGAGGCAGGCGGATCTTGAGGTCAGGAGATCGAGACCATCCTGGCCAACATGGTGAAACCCTATGTCTACTGAAAATAAAAATTAGCTGGGCGTGGTGGTGGGCACCTGTAATCCCAGCTGCTTGAGAGGCTGAGGCAGGAGAATCGCTTGAACCCGTGAGGCAGAGGCTGCAGTGAGCCGAGACTGTCCCACTGCACTCCAGCCTGGTGATAGAGACTACATCTCAAAAAAAAAAAAAAAAGTCTCCTCCGTGTGAAACTCCTCATATAAAGCCAAAAATATTAAGAAAGAAATTAGTTCAATTCACACTTAAGTGGACTGTCATTTTAAATGGCACAGTTAATAGAGTAAAAGTATGTGGGCTTTCTAGAGGGGGTTGCTTGGTGCATGATGAAATTCCCTGCCTCAGATCAGAACTAGGGACTTGCTTTCCTGTTGCTGGTTCAAACTTCTGCAAAAGTAGCGTGAAACACACTGCTTTTCATTTATTTCCTTTTGCTGTGTTTCAGTGGTCCTTTTTCAATGAGCTAGACAAGTTACCAAGCCTGCGGGCTTTGTCCTGCCTAAGAAACCCCCTGACCAAAGACGACAAAGATACTCAGACCACGAGGCAGCTTATTATCGCCAAAATTGGCCAGCTGAAGACCCTGAACAAATGTGAGGTGAGCACTGGCATCATGATTACCTTTTGTTTTTTTTTTTGAGACGTAGTCTTCTTCTGTCGTCCAGGCTGGAGTACAGTGGCGTGATTTCGGCTCACTGCAACCTCTGCTTCCCGGGTTCAAGTGATTCTCGTGTCTCAGCCTCCCAAGTAGCTGGGATTACAGGCACGCGCCAGCACGACCAACTAATGTTTTGTATTTTTAGTAGAGACAGGGTTTCACCGTGTTAGCCAGGATGGTCTCAATCTCCTGACCTCATGATTTGCCCACCTTGACCTCCCAAAGTGCTGGGGTTACAGGCATGAGCCATCACACCTGGCCCATGACTAGTTTTCTTTTTAGGCTGGGCGCAGTGGCTCACACCTGTAATCTCAGCACTTTGGGAGGCTGAGACACGAGAATCGTGTGGTCGCTTGAGTCCAGGAGTTTGAGACCAGCCTGGACAACCTGGTGAAATACCATCTCTATGAAAAATACAAAAATTAGCTGCATAGTGGCACAGGTCTGTAGTGCCTATAGTCCCAACTACTTAGAAGGCTGAGGTGGGAGGATCTCCTGAGCCTGGGATGCCAAGGCTGCAGTGAGCCGTGAACATGCCACTGTACTCCAGCCTGGGCAATGGAGTGAGATTCTGTCTTAATTAAAAAAAATAAATAAGGCCAAGTGTGGTGGCTCATACCTGTAATCGCAGCACTTTGGGAGGTCAAGGCGGGTGGATCACCTGAGGTCAGGAGTTCGAGACTAGCCTGGCCAACATGGTGAAACCCCGTGTCTACTAAAAATACAAAAATTAGGTGGGTGTGATGGCACATGTCTGTAATCCCAACTACTCGGGAGGCTGAGGCAGGAGAATTGCTAGAACCCGGTAGGTGGAGGCTGCAGTGAGCCAAGATCACGCCACTACACTCCAGCCTGGGTGACACAGCAAGACCCTGTCTCAAAAAAGAAAAAAAGTAAAAAGATTACTTTTTAATATTGTAAAGGGGGTGATAGGTAGCTTTCCTTGGAACAGTAAAAGAACCTTGTGCAGTTTCATAATAATGCTGCTTTTCCAGCTCCTCAGGAGAGAGTCTTCCACTTAGATCAGTGCAGGAAAAACCTGTTGCTCTGCTGCCCGTGGCCTGATTGATTATCATTTGATGAATACCAGGCACCTTCTCCGTTTTTTCAGGGAAAGTAGGCAGAAAGAACACAGAACTACAGAGCTTGTTTCTCCTCTGCTGCTTAACCACTCTTCTCCATAAAAGTGGGAAGGCCACACCTTGTCCTTGCCAGCACTTTTGTGCATTTACTGGGAGTCAGTCAGCTCCGCCAGGGCAGGCGCCTCCAGGCAGACCTCAGGGAGGTGACCCAGGGTACCTGGTGTAGTCCTGAAACTGGCTTACGCGCAGGTACTCTCATGAATTAAAGTGGAAAACTGAAATTATTTTTGCTTTTCTGATAAACCCTCGAATTCTGTCAATGTTAAAAAGGGTGAAAACTGGCTGGGTGTGGTGGCTCATGCCTGTAATCCCAGCACTTTGGGAGGCCAAGGCAGGCGGATCACAAGGTCAAGAGATTGATACTATCCTGGCCAACATGGTGAACCCCATCTCTACTAAAAATACAAAAATAAGCTGGGCATGGTGGTGCACGCCTGTAATCCCAGCTATTCCAGAGGCTGAGGCAGGAGAATTGCTTGAACCCAGGAGGCAGAGGTTGCAGTGAGCGGAGATTGCACCATTGCACTCCAGCCTGGCGACAGAGCGAGATTCCTTCTCAAAAAATAAAAAAATAAACAAAAATTTTAAAAATTAAAAAAAAGGGTGAAAACTCTAATTTTGTCTTGTCCCTGTAAATTTGATTATTCTCTGCAAGTGCAGTGGAGGAAGGTCAAGGTGCAGCACGCAAAGGACTTGTTAGAAGAAAGCTTTCTAATAGACTTGTTTTTATGTCTCATCAACATAGATTCTCCCAGAGGAGAGGTGGGGAGCTGAGCTTGACTACCGAAGAGCTTTTGGAAACGAGTGGAAAAAGGCTGGTGGACACCAGGACCTGGACAAAAACAGACTCAGCGAAGAATTCCTCATGGCCCATCCTAGATACCAGTTCCTCTGCCTGAGTACGTGTGTATGCACTGGTGGATTTCCAGCTTAAACGGAGTTTTTTCCCTTGGGTATCAAAAGAGGTTCTCTGTTGTTATTGCCCTTCTTCCTTTCCTGGGGCAAGTACAGCAGGGCAAGAGCAGTATCTTCCAGCAGGAGGAAACTGGTTCTTGAAACGGAGAGATTTGCATTTGGGGAGGGGGAAGCAGTTTTTTAAGAGATGGAGTGTTGCTCTGTCACCCAGGCTGGAGCAATGTTGGCTCACTGCAACCTCAGCCTCCTGGGTTCAGGTTCCTCTCCTGCTTCAGCCTCCTGAGTAGTTGGGATTACAGGCGTGCACCAACCACCATGCATGGCTAATCTTTGTATTTTTAGTAGAGATGGGGTTTCACCATATTGGCCAGGCTGGTCTTGAACTCCTGATCTCAAGTGATCCACCTGCTTTGGCTTCTCAAAGTGCTGGGATTATAGGCATGAGCCACTGCCCTTGGTGGGAAGGCACTTCTGTTTTTTTTTTTTTTTTTTTTTTTTTTTTTGAGATGGAATCTCACTCTGTTGCCCAGGCTGGAGTGCAGTGGCACTATCTGGGCTCATTGCAAGCTCTGCCTCCTGGGTTCAGGTGATTCTCCTGCCTCAGCCTCTCAAGTAGCTGGGACTACAGGTCCATACCACCCACCATACCTGGCTAATTTTTGTATATATATATTTTTTAGTAGAAATGGGGTTTCACCATGCTGGCCAGGCTGGTCTTTAACTCCTGACCTCGTGATCTGCCCACCTTGGCCTCCTGAAGTACTGGGATTACAGGCATGAGCCACCGTGCCCTGTATTTTTTAAAGCCCCCCAGGTGTTTGTAGTGAACAGGAAAGTTCGCAAGAGTGTAGCTCTTTAGTAAGCTCTCTTGTCCGGAGGGCTCACTGCCCGTTCTACCAAGGTTGGCACTTGGTCTGCATGGTGGTTCCTTAAATCCTCCAGCCTTGTTCTTCAGGCTTTGAAGCTGAGAATTCATGAGTCTTTGTCTGTGATGTACTTTCCATTTTGTTTTGACTTCATTATTATTCCACATTTCACTTTTATGTGATTTTCCTTTTTTTATATTTCTTAATGCAAGAAGCTCACTGTATGAACGCTTTAGGCTTGAACAGTATCTTTAAGGATGAAGAGCTGCCTGTGGGAATCACTTTCAAATTACTCCATTAGCCGGCCCAATTTCCTGGCCATGCTTGGTGAATTCTGAATCACTTGGGGGTGAGCAAGGGAAGATCCTGAAGCAGCCAGGCAGGTATTGTTTAGTATTTCACTGCTAATGCTAGAAGACAAAAGCACAGATACGTGAAGGGATTTAGAGAAATCTTGTCACTGTTTGGCCTAGAGCAGGAAAAACGTACTGCTTTCCCCCCTCTCCTCTGGAGGCTGTGGTCCAGGCCGAGGAACTAGGCTGCAGTGTGGTACTGAGTGCCCAGCCTGGCACTGCACGGTCTGGTTGAAACTTGGTGAAGGTGTTTTCTGGATTGCGTCAAAGGTACAGAACAGGTTTCTCTCAGTGCAGAAGGAGAACTGTTTCCAAAGGTGACATTCGGAGCAGACGTGAAGTTTTTGAACGCAGTCTTCTCTTGCTAGTTTGAGTCAGGACAGTCAGTCTCTAAGGAACAACGATGTAATATACACGTAAACATGTTGCTTTTCATTTATTGTCTTTTGTTGAATTTCACTGGTCATTAACAATGAGCTAGATGAGTTACAGAGTCTGTAGCTCTGGGTAGATAGAGGATTCTGCCCTTGGAAGTGCTTGTTGTCCATCACTCCTAAAAATCAAGCGAGCTTGATGTGTCCTGGGAAAGGCACAGGCTCTCTGCACACTTACCTATCGTTTTTTTTTTTTTTTTTCTTATAGTGGCCTTTGGTTTATCACTCATCTCTTTTAATTTCTTAAACAGAATATGGTGCACCTGAAGATGGGGAACTCAAAAGACAACCACTTATGCTCAAAAACCAGCTACTAAGTAAGAATCTCAGATTCCACATCACTTATTTGTATTTGAGTCCTTAGATGCTGAAACGGACAGTGTGTTAGAGTGTTTCTCTTAAGTGTGTATCCCTATGTACCTAAGTAGATACTTTGAGTTTAAATGCCTTTTTTTTTGCGGGGGCGGGGGTGGAGTCTCCCCTGTTGCCAGGCTGGAGTGCAGTGGCGCGATCTCGGCTCATTGCAACTTCTGCCTCCTGGGTTCAAGTGATTTTCCTGGCCCAGCCTCCCAAGTAGCTGGGACTACAGGTGCCCACCACCATGCCCAGCTAATTTTTCTATTTTTAGTAGAGATGGGGTTTTACCGTGTTGGCCAGCATAGTCTTGATCTCTTGACCTCGTGATCTGCCTGCCTTGGCTTCCCAAAGTGCTGGGATTATAGGCATGAGCCACTGCGCCTGGCCAGAAATCCGTTCTTTAAAACATATTTAAATTCTTATATTGAACATTTTTGCAACACCTATGGCTTTTTTTTTTTTTTTTTCCTATTTTGTTTTTTGTGAGATGGAGTCTTGCTCTTGTCGCCTAGGCTGGAGTGCAATGGTGGGATCTCGGCTCACTGCAACCTCTGCCTCCAGGGTATAAGCCATTATCCTGCCTCAGCCTCTGGAGTAGCTGGGATTACAGGCATCCACCACCATGCCAGGCTAATTTTTGTATTTTTATTGGAAACGGGGTTTCACCATGGTCTCGAACTCTTGACTTTGTGATCCGCCTGCCTCGGCTTCTGTGTGTGCTAGGATTTACAGGTGTGAGCCACTGCATCCGGCTGCAACTCTTGTTTTAAAGTCATTTAATACTGTTATAAATGTGGGAGGTATTGGAGTTGTGAGCCAAATTGTGATTTGTGAATTTGTGACTTGAAAACCTAGCTAAACTGTCAGGAAAGAAGTACTAAGAGGGGAAAGGAAAGTGTTGGTCCAGCTATTTTTGTTAGCAATTCATGGAGGGTTTTTTTCCTTTGTTTTAAGATGGAGTCTCACACTGTTGCCCAGGATGAAGTGCAGTGGCAGCCTGCTACCAGTCCTGTCTAATTTTTTGTATTTTTTTTCTTTGAGACGGAGTTTTTCACTCTTGTTACCCAGGCTAGAGTGCAATGGCGCGATCTCAGCTCACTGCAACCTCCACCTCCTGGGTTCAAGCAATTCTCCTGCCTCCGCCTCCCGAGTAGCTGGGACTACAGGCATGTGCCACCATGCCCAGCTAATTTTTTTTTATTTTTAGTAGAGACAGGGTTTCCCTATGTTGGCCAGGCTGGTCTTAAACTCCTGATCTTGTGATCCGCCCACCTTAGCCTCCCAAAGTGGTAGGATTACAGGTGTGAGCCACTGTGCCTAGCCTCATGGAAGTATTAATAGAAACAATTTTAAACATTGATTATACCTGTCAATTTGCACTGAATAGCTCTATCATTTGGCCATATATTAACGTGTGTGGTTAATTTAAATCTATGTAATAGTAGATATCAATTAGTCTTTTTCATTGTTTCTCTGAAAGCACTGAAGATAAAATACCCTCATCAACTTGATCAGAAAGTCCTAGAGAAACAACTGCCAGGTAAGAAGAATAAGCCTATCTTCTCCTTCCTTAAACTTCTGAATCATCAGCCTAGGTATGAGTCAGCTAAAATTAAAACCTTTAACTCATGTCTGAAAGTATGGACCTCAGAGCTGATAGGTTTTCATTATTAGTCTTTTATATTCTAAAATACAATCAGTCATGCTAATATCACTCCCCAGTAACCCGAAAAGTTCAGGTCTCCCATAACTTTATCAGCTGAAAACAGTTTTGTTAAAATTGGAAGCCCCCTGCATGTAATTACACACACATCTATTTCATGTGTCTGTGTGTGTATATATATATATATATATGTGTGTGTGTGTGTGTGTGTGTGTATGTATATATATATATATATATAAAATAATTTTTTGAGACAGGGCCTCACTCTGTCACCCAGGTTGGAGTGCAGTGGCACCGTCTCAGCTCACTGCAACCTCTGCTTCCCAGGCTCGAGCAATTCTCCAGCCTCAGCCTCCTGTAGCTGGGACTACAAGTGCGAGCCACCAACGCTCTGCTAATTTTTGTATTTTTTGTAGAGACGGAGTTTCACTGTGTTGCTCAGGCTGGTCTCGAATTCCTGAGTTCAAAGCGATCTGCCTGCCTTGGCTTCCCAAAGTGTTGGGATTACAGGCATGAGCCACTGTGCTTGGCCTATAATTGTATTTTTAACCAAAGCCTGAGAACTTGAATGGCATAGCCTTTCAGAAGCATTCCCCAGCATACTGCTGTTTCTAGGGAGACTGTGCACTGGATTTGGGGTCTGCTTATCATCCCTTCATAAGAGAAGAGGTATGTCCTGGTGAACTGAATTGTTATGGGTGATTTGTGACTTTGCTTACATTCTGCTTACCTCCTGCTCCTGACTGATCAGGAGTCCCTGCAAAAACAATTCACAAATGCTCTTTTAATGGACACCCTGAAATGGTTTTCTTTGAGAAAACTACTCTAAAACTTAAAAAAAAATTGTGCCACTGGAACTAAATACGCTTGTATCAACAAATTAGATCAACATAACTTACTTTAAACCTTCCCCCTCAAAAGAAAAATTAGTCTGTTTTTGAGTATGCCATGATACTGCGAATTCTCACGATTAAACTTGATTCGTAGTTAAATCCTAAAATATAAACCGTAAATTTAGAGCAGCAAGGATTTAAATAAATGAAATACATACACATCAGCCTAAATGACTCTGGTACACTGGGTTTGTTTGTTTGCCCATCAGTGCAGTAAATTCACATTGATTTTTATATTAGTTTCTATCAGATCAAGCTTATGGTATTGCTTATAGAAGGCCTTAGTTGTGTTCACAGAAGTACCTTTCTGATTGATAACCATCCATTTAGTGTTAATTTACCAGTACTTCTCCATTTTTATTTATTCACAATCCAGTTTCTATTCCTATAATATGTAATTTTGCTACTGCTATATAATTGATTAGAATTAGTGATGTCTCTCTGCATTATTCTGTTTTCAAACTTAAATACTGCCAAATAAAGGCCCCGGTGGAGACAGACTAGTCAAAGAGAGCCGGGACTGGTCGTTTGAGCCACTGTAATCCGGCCTGGGTGACAGAGTGAGACCCTGTCTCAAAAAAAAAAAAAAAAAAAAGAAAATACTGCAATATCAGTTTTTTACTCCATTAGATGAGCAAAAATTAAATAACTGGCATGAAAAAGCAGTATACCCTTTTTGTAAAGTCATGTAGAAATTACTATAAAAAATTAAAAATACACATATGCTCCGACCAAGCATTCTCTCTTGCAGCATTTGTAACGGTAAAGATAGTAAGCATCTAAATGCTTGCCAGTGGGGGAATGGTGAATAAACTCTGGTGGAATCACAGGCACACAAGGCACTGTCTCAAATCACTGAGGGGAATGAAGGAGGTCTAAGCTGTGCTGTCCAGTGTGGCTGCAATAGCCACGTGGCTATTTAAATTAAGATAAAATAAATTCAATTCTTCAGTCATACTAGACACATTTCAGGTGCTCAGTACATATGGCTGCCATATTGGGCAGTGTTTGTCTAGAGAACATGGCATGAAAAGCTATACCATCATGTAATAAAGAAATACAAATGTAGTAGGTCAATATATTATAAAATCTATACATCTTTTTTTCTTGAGACTGAGTCTCATTCTGTTGCCCAGGCTGGAGTGCAGTGGTATGCTCTCAGTACACTGCAACCTCTGCCTTCTGGCTTCAAGCAATTCTTCCTGCCTCAGCCTCCCAAGCAGCTGGGATTACAGGTGCCTGCCACCATGCCTGGCTAATTTTTAATGGAGACAGGGTTTCACCATGTTGGCCAGGCTGGTCTCAAACTCCTGACCTCAGATGATCCACCTGCCCTGGCGTCCCAAAGTGCTGGGATTACAAGCGTGAGCCACTGCGCCTGGCTTAAAACCTATACACCCGTATATGAACATAGAGAAAAGAAGGCCTAGAGGTCTACCTCTCAAATTTTTAACACTGGTCATAAGCAGGTGAAAAGGATGAATTAGCTATCTCCATATTTTCTGAGTAGGCAGGTTTTTTTTTTTTTTTTGGAGATAGGGTCTGGCTCTGCTACCCAGGCTGGGTGGAGTACAGTGGCGTGATCATGGCTCACCGCAGCCTTGACATCCTGGGCTCAAGCGATCCTCCCAGGTAGCTGGGACTAGAGGCATACATCACTGTGCCTGGCTAATGCTGTAGTTTTTGTAGAGATGGGGTGTCCTTGCGCTACTCAGGCTGGACTCGAATTCCTAGGCTTTGATCCCTCTGCCTCCCAAAGCGCTGGGATTACAGCATGAGCAGGCCAGGCAGATTTCTTAGAATTGCTTTATGACCAAACTTTGTTTCTGGCATGTGTTAGGAGTATGCCATTTCCCACTGCTGTGCAGTGGTTAACCCTTCTCTAACCATCATCCAGACAATGAAAGCCAGTCCATCTAAATCTTTTGAAAAGACTAGACTATCACATATTCACACAGGAAAGAGCAAATTTGGTTAATTAAAATTATAAATTCTATTAACTATATTCATTACATACAAAAAGGCCAGTTTTTATTCTAAAATAAAGATAACGTTTATTATCACAAGTTGCATAAAAACACACAGCTTTTACAAAAATGATTTCTGATAGAAAAATACGTTTGAATACATTGTGGTATTTGTAGGAACACCACACTATTGCTGTATCTCCAGCTAAAGCTTCAAGGAAATTGTATTTCTCATAATCAAAATATCCACTATTTACCACAACCTCTCTTTGGAAAGAAGTTCATAGTGTATTCTGAACAAACCAAAGTGTTTACTCTGAAGTTACATTCCCATGTATAACACAGTTACAAATTACATAATAACAGAATGGCCCCGCTGAAAGGGACCTTGCAGGTCATTTAGTTGACACCTTCATTTTACAGAGGGGGAACTCAGGCCAGAGAGGTTGAGAGATGTCCTCAGGACACCTGAGTACCATTCCAGTGTTTGCTCAGTAATTCATAAGGAAGTCATCACAAAGGTTCAAAAAGAAAACTTACTGATTTCACTCCCATTATTCTGTGCTGAGTATCATGTCTGGTTTATTCAGCTTAAGAAAGAAATTCTCTACTGAAATGTATGAAATGCGCTGTCAAAGGGCACTTAGGGCCGTTGGCTCCATTTCCCACAGTTCCCCAAATGGTAGAAAGACTCAGGCTTTCCCCTAATTACTGACTTGGGTAAACTGACACAGAAAAATGACAGATACAGCTATCACTGCAGTTGACTCTGTGGTCTCATCACATGACTAGTTTTACAGGTAACTGTCACCTGAGAGAACGGACTGTTCTCGTCTTTTGATAGGCTCCATGACAATCCAAAAGGTGAAGGGATTGCTGTCACGTCTTCTCAAAGTTCCGGTGTCAGATCTTCTGTTGTCCTATGAAAGTCCCGAGGTAAGTTGCTCAGCAAAATACAAAGTCAAGCGTAATCCCCATACGATGACATTGAACTGTCTCCAGATAGCAACAGTTTGGTTCTAAATGGAGGCCACAGATCTGTTTGATTTTAAGGGTAAGCTACTGCCTGAGGATGGGGTGGGGGGGAGAGTATGTATAACATACGTTATGGGATCTGTCTTAATCACATCCTTCCCCACCTTTGTTCTAATTTTAGAAGCCGGGCAGAGAAATTGAGCTGGAGAATGACCTAAAGTCATTACAGTTTTATTCTGTGGAAAACGGAGATTGTCTATTAGTGCGATGGTAACAACCAACTAATAAAATTTAGAGACTATACTGCTTATGTCTGGGGTTCACCAGAAATAAATGCTTCACTGGAACAATTCTGCCAAAAAAAAGTGGGGGGTTACTACTTGCCCTAAGTATAACAAGGGACGTAGTTTAACAATGGATGTATTTTTTGTCGGGAAGCGACCATTTCTAGGCTAATACATAATAGCTATAATAAAGGCTTTGAACCTCCTAATGATTTTCTGATCTTATTTCATATTTATTTTTACAGTTCATCACTGCATTTATAAGATTTAAATATCAAATAGAAACTAGCTACCTAATAAAATCTGAACGCAGTTAATGTCTGTTACAAGACTAGTTTTAATGGAACTCTCTATTGATACTACTATTTTAAAGGGTTGCTAAAATGATGTGGTTGGTCATTTTGGGAAATGTCCCTTAAACTTAGGGAGACACATCCTCTACGTAATGTATAACATATATGCTATTATCTCTCTTCTCAGGTGCACTGTTTTTTTAAGAGTACTTAATCACATGCTTTTCCCTATAGTTATACCTAAGCTGAGTCTATCTTCTTCTGTAGAAGATCACCAGCTGATTGATTGAAATGTTACTCATGTTAGGTAAACATTAGGCAATGATAGGAGGAATGCAAAATTCTTTCAAAATGTCAACAATTTAGAAATATCCTTCCTGATGGCACTAAAACCCTGAGAGGTATTTTGCTTTTATTCATACCCACAAAAATTGAGCATTTAAAAAATACGAGTAATAAACTGTGACCTTCAGGATTTATGTTAGATGGCAGAAAGAAAATTTGGTTATTAGTCTACCAGATGAATGAACTTCTTTAAAACCAAGGTTCAGAGCTGAGAATCATATTGGTTCCTTTTCAAGTTCAAGTTGCCCACTTCAGTGATCCACAAAATTTGGTATAAGTGACCATTGCTCAAGTATGTGATTATATGATCACACAGCATTCCTGTGAGTTCTTTTTTTTTTTTTTTTTTTTTTTTAAGATGGAGTTTCGCTCTTGTTACCCAGGCTGGAGTGCAATAGCGCGATCTCGGCTCACCACAACCTCCGCCTCCTGGGTTCAGGCAATTCTCCTGCCTCAGCCTGAGTAGCTGGGATTACAGGCACACGCCACCATGCCCAGCTAATTTTTTGTATTTTTAGTAGAGACAGGGTTTCACCATGTTGACCAGGATGGTCTCGATCTCTTGACCTCGTGATCCACCCGCCTCGGCCTCCCAAAGTGCTGGGATTACAGGCTTGAGCCACCGCGCCCGGCCTGTGAGTTCTTTTTGTCTGATTATCCTAATTCAGCTCTACAGAACTATCCTAAAATCCAGGTTGAAATTCAAACTCAGTTATTACTCCAGACTTCTGAACCTAGGCCAAGTTTTAAACCAAAAATTATAGGTAATGATAAATGACTAGTCACAATGAATCAGGATTTGGAAATATTTTTTCTTTTATAAAATAATTTGGTATTTTTCTGATAATCTTCCAATATATGAATAAAAACTTTTCTTATGCTACAGTACCAGTTGATTTTTAAGAAGGAAATTTGTGCAAACATTAAGAAACACCGCACTGGTTCTGGGTAAAAGTGCTGGTCTAGAACTCTCCTGAAAGACAGCACAGTTTACTGCTAAACCCTGGACCTCCTCTGACTTCCAATCAGATTATTGTTTCCCTGCCCTGATTTCCCTGTTATCTTGTTTCACATCGACAGGGATCACCGCACATTTCCTTTAGTTTCCACAGTTCTGTCAGTTCCTGCGGAGAAAACTGAGGAGAAGACAGCATTCCCGTCTCACAGGTCTTCTCACACAGCCACAGGCTGTCCTGTGAAAAACAAAACAGAAGCTGATCTGAGAGCTGTGAAACTCTTTGAAGAGCCTAAGAAAGTATGCATATAGCCAGCTTTTATGTATTCTAATGATGCTGAAATTATTTCAAGGATAACTCCATGTGTGGACCAACTGGTGAGGTTTGGGGGTGGCAGCTCCTGATGTGGGAAAGCAGCAGGCCCCACAGTCCTGTGGCTGTGGGACACAGAAGCAAGGCGGTGTGTGGATTAAGTTAGTCACCAAATGCAATTCTGTGATGAAAGATTTTAGAAATCACAAGTGAGTTTCATGTTTGCAGTTAAAGGTGGTTCTATGGCAGAATTAGTTACATCTGTTATTCTTATGGAATGCTTACAATAATGTGGGGACTGTACCCAAGTGCTTTGTAAATATTTCAATTCTCACAATAATGCTGTTAAGTTAGGAATTACTTCCCTCTTACAACTGAGAAAGAGTTAAATCACTTGTTCAAGGTCACAGGGCTGATAAATGAAGAGGAGGAGTTAAAGACTCCCTAGCTCAAGTTCTTAACCACTAGACTCTTTCCCAGCTACATAAATTGGCTTGTTTCCAGCAACAGAGCAGAACATACAGAAACTCATTCAGTTAGACAACACAAAAATGTTGGATAAAGTTAAAAACCTTTATGAGGCATGGCTGAACTCCTTGGTGAAAGAACAAATGGTAGGAGCAAGTGGAGTCAGCATGTGTCTTGAAGGTATGTGCTGATCCCTGGGTTTTGAAAGGCTAAGCCCAGGGACAGGAGACTAACTGGAGACTGACAAAGCTGGGACCCCTAAGGGCCACAGCCTCAGGCAGTTTATAAGAAAACAAACTCAGCTTGTCTGTCTCAGTCTTGCCCCTCAGTGGGATGGGAAGGAGTCTCTCCCCTGAGTGTCTAACCACAGCTTGCACTTCGGTGGGTCTGGGGCTGGTAGACACAGTCTGTGCAGGCCCAACAGTTCTAAACTATAAATCTGAAGTATTCATAGATAGCAGTACTTGCAGGTGCATGGCAGAAAAAATGTAAATCCTCTTTGTAAGAATACATTTTAGGCCAGTCATGGTAGCTTAGGCCTGCAATCCCAGCACTTTGGGAGGCTGAGGTGGGCGGATCAGTTGAGGTCAGGAGTTCAAGACCAGCCTGGCCAACACGGCGACACTCTGTCTCTATTAAAAATAGAAATAGGCCGGGCACAGTGGCTCATGCCTGTAATCCCAGCACTTTGGGAGGCCGAGGTGGGTAGACCACGAGGTCAAGAGATTGAGACCAGCCTGGCCAACATGGTGAAACCCCATCTCTACTAAAAATACAAAAATCAGCTGGGCATGGTGGCACGCACCTAAAGTCCTAGCTACTCAGGTGTCTAAGGGGAGAATCACTTGAACCGGGGAGGCAGAGGTTGCCGTGAGCTGAGATGGCCACTGTACAACCTGGGTGACTGACAGAGCAAGATTCTGTCTCAAAAAAAAAGAAAAAAAAAGAATGCATTTTAAATATAGGATTCAGTTTCCAAAGACATGACACGGTCACCAAAAAAAAAAAAAAAAAAAAAAAACTACAGAATCAGATCCAGCAAAGACGACAGATCCCACTATTACCAGATACAGAAAAGAATTCTATTCGAAGATGAGACTGAAAGTAACGACAAAGGAATCGGACTATCAAAATGGACCATGTAGAGGTGGGTTTCTTTCTTGTCCTGAACTGAGAGCTGCTCTAGGGTCCCTGCCTTATGCAGGGCCCTTAACTGACAGACACTGCATGTGCCTTCTGTCCCCTGCACCTTCGATGGCCAAAGTGGAAGCTGCAAGAATCCAGAACTCAACAGAAATCTCTGAAGCAAAGGCCACCTTTGTGCTTGCTTTCTTCCCAGGGCTCCAAGTTTCCATTTTGGTCTCTGCAGATTTTTTTTTTTTTTTCTGGTTCAGCAATAGTGTTTTAAATGATGTCTTATATTTCCTGCAGTGTCTTATTTTTATCGGTCAGAAGGGTTGAAGGATGCTTAGACTGCCACACTCAATCAGTGGATTCTGTCATTAAGTTTTAAAGCTGCAAATAATTTCTGATTGCAGCTATGGAAACTGAATTCTTTGTAGGTAGGGGAACTTTCATTCCTCCTTTTGCTTTAAACTCAGTAGAATACTGGATGAGAAATAACCTAGGTGGATTATTGTGAATTAAAGTAACAGCATTAACTTATGGTAGAAGATCCTCATTCTTTCTGTCCATGGTGTGATATACATTACAGGTTGAATTCCAAATCAAAAAATCTCAAATCTAAAATCCTCTAAGGCCGGGCGCGGTGGCTCAAACCTGTAATCCCAGCACTTTGGGAGGCCGAGGTGGGTGGATCACGAGGTCAGGAGATCGAGACCATCCTGGTCAACATGGTGAAACCCCGTCTCTACTAAAAATACAATAAATTAGCTGGGCATGGTGGTGCATGCTTGTAATCCCAGCTACTCAGGAGGCTGAGGCAGGAGAATTGCCTGAACCCAGGAGGCGGAGGTTGCGGTGAGCCGAGATCGCGCCATTGCACTCCAGCCTGAGTAACATGAGTGAAACTGTCTCAAAAAAAAAAAAAAAAAAAAAAAAATCCTCCAAAATCTATAATTTTTTTTTTGAGACAGGGTCCCTCTCTGTTGCCTAAGCGGGAGTGCAGTGGTGCAATCACAGCTCACTGCAGCCTTGACCTCCCAGGCTTGAGTGATCCTCCTACCTCAGCCTCCTGAGTAGCTGGGACCACAGGCAGACACTGCCGTGCCCAGCTGATTTTTTGTACTTTTTGTAGAGATGGGGTTTTCGTCATGTTGGCCAGGCTGGTCCTGAACTCCTGGGCTCAAGTGACATGCCCACCTTAGCCTCTCAAAGTGTTGGGATTACAAGTGTGTGCCACTATGCCTACCCAAAAATTTTTGAGAGCCAACATCACACTCAAAGGAAATGCTCACTGAAGCACTTCAGATTTTCAGATTTGGGATGTGAAACTTGAAAGTATAATGCAATTATTCTAAAACCCAAAAAAATTCTGAAATCCTAAATACTTCTGGTCCCAAGCATTTTGAATAAGGGACACTCAACCTGTATACAGAAATCTCACCTCCTCAACTCTTAAGAATCCCAAGGCCACTCCCAAAGACTTACCTGGTATCTTTTAGGTCCTATGGCTGCCATCCAGATGCCCATGCTTACATCTTCACCCTATATACATGGCCCACAAAGTTTGAATGTAAAAGTTTTAAATGCCATTTTATTTGTAAAGACAAAACCATGCCCATGCCCATCAGAGACCACCTTTCTACTTTTCTGCTCTGTTGTTATTCTAACATGAAATAGCAAAAGTGGATTCACATAAACTCAAAGCTAGCGGCCTTTAGTATGAAGCACCCCCACAAAGTAATGAGAAGATGAAACCACGAGTCGATGGCCCATCTTTCTCATGTACCTTAGGCCTCCAGGAAGCACTTTGGGTTCCTCCTTAGGAATACAAATCTTTCTATTCATCCAGGGACTATAGTTTTTTTTGAGACAGCGTCTCCCTCTGTCAGCCAGGGTGGTGTGATCTCGGCTCTGCAACCTCTGACTACCTGGGTTCATGTGATTCTCCTGTCTCAGCCTCCCAAGTAGCTGGGAATACAGGTGTGCGCCATTACGCTAATTTTTTGTATTTTTAGTAGAGATGGGGTTTGCCATGTTGGCCAGGCTGGTTTCGAATTCCTAACCTCAAGTGATCCACCTGCCTTAACCTCCCAAAATAGGATTACAGGTGTGAGCCATGGTGCCCAGTCTCCAGGGACTATACTTGTAAATACTGGCTGAAAACATAATAAGTAGGCTCAAAAAAGATTAAGGAATAGAATTTAAAGCCCAAGATTTGAGGGACATAGGATTGCATCCTTAACCTTTGAGAGGTGATTCCTTAATTTTTTGTTTTTATTTTTTTATTATAGAGATGGGGTATTGCTATGTTACCCAGGCTGCTCTTGAATTCCTGGGCTCAAGTGATCTGCCCACCTTAGCCTTCCAAAAATGCAGCGATTACAGGCAAGAGCCACCATGCCCAGCTAAAAAATTCTTAATTACCTGATAGGTCTTTAACCTCCCCGAGTTGCTTGCCAGCCACTTGACGATGTCCTTAGAGATCACGTACCCTGACCCACATGCAAAGGCAGGGTAAGCGGGGCTGGGGTACTCCAACTCCTGCCACTTGCCGGTTCGGTCAACTGCCCAATTCAGTCTGAAACTGAGAATGGAAAATAATGTGGCCTCTTGTGTTGGTCTGACATCTATCCTGCCACTATTACACTTGACTCCTTTATCATCACTACAAAGGAATAAGCTTGTAGAAGCGAGGCAAGAAAATAGAGTGCTTGCTTTGCAGTGGTGTGATCTCGGCTCACTGCAACCTCCGCCTCCTGCGTTCAAGCAATTTTCCTGCCTCAGCCTCCCAAGTAGCTGGGATTACAGGAACCTGCCATCATGCCCAGCTAACTTTTTGTATTTTTAGTAGAGACAGGGTTTCACCATGTTAGCCAGGCTGGTTTTGAACTCCTGACTTCAGTTGATCCACCCACCTCGACCTCCCAAAGTGCTGGGATTACAAGCGTAAGCCATTGAGCCTCGCCAGAATATTTTTTTAAATCTCTTACCTTATATACCAAGAAAAAATTTTTTTAATCTAAGGGAAGGAATTATTTATCCAGTGGTGTTTTAGATAAAAGATTGGTATGTTAAATTTTCTCAAAGTTGCATTTGTAGAATTTCTGAATGAGAAGTACTAGATCACCCTGTGTTTTAGCATATATGAAAACAAAAAATCCCAGTCACTAATGCATATTATACTCCTGAGGAAGCAAAGAAAATGGTTTCAGAGATGTGTCACAAACTTATTCTAACAAAATACACAGTAGCTTCTCATGTGAATACCATTTATTTCTTTGCATGAGAATAAAAGCCACATTGTTTTCCCTCTATTACTACATTAGCCTAAGGCTTTTCATTTAAAAAATATTTTCCTCCCATTGTACAGTAATAAAAAATTTATTATTTTTAAGACAGGGTCTCCCTCTGTTGCTCAGGCTGGAGTACAGTTGCACAATCATGGCTTACTGCAGCCTCCAACTCCTGGGCTCAAGCACTTCCCCTGTCTCAGCCTCCCAAGTAGCTAGGGGCTACAGGCTCATGTCATCTTTTTTATTTTTTGTAGGGACAAGGTCTTGCAATGTTGTTCAGGCTAGTTTTGAACTCAAGGCCTCAAGGGATCCTTGCACCTCAGCTTTCCCAAAACTCTGGGATTACAGATGTGAGCCATAATGACTGACCTAGAGCAATGAAATATACATTAACCCAGCAGTCTAGTAAGAAATTGTGTATCTCAACCACATTTTTGAAAAAATAATTAACCTAAAATCTTATCCTTAATTACATTTGATCAGGTACATGAATGCCAACAGGCTGAGAATGGTTAACTTACTTTCCCCACCAAAAATTAGGCCCATCCAGATTCTTTTGGGCAATCCTATTAAATACAGCTTCGAGGTCTATGTAACAGTCGTCATCTGTCTTCAGCAACAAATTGAAGCTGGTTGTTTCCACAGTCCTGTTGACACAAAAGGGATATGAAAGTCAGTACAGCCAAACAAAGCAGTACCAAAGCAGTGGCATCACTGATGCTTTCATTCAAAACCATCTGTTATTTGTTTTGTTATTCATCAAATGTTGAGAACATCTGCTCTAACAAAATTTTGCTGTTATCAACTAAGGCCATCACTTGGTATTTACTAAGTGGCGTAACACAGAGAAGTACTAAACTGATTTTAAAAGGTAAAGGAAGAGCATGAAAGAAAATATCTGGCTTCAGTGGAATATATATTCAACAAACGCTTCTTAGGCATCATTCAAGTCCTGCTGCCAAATCTATTAAATGTCTAAACCCTTCTCCATGTGTTTATTTTTTATTTTTTTTTTGAGATGGAGTTTCGCTTTTGTCGTCCAGGCTGGAGTGCAATGGTGCAACTGGCTCACTGCAACCTCTGCCTCCTGGGTTCAAGCGATTCTCCTGCCTCAGCCTCCCAAGTAGCTGGGACTACAAGCAGCTGCCACCACAACCAGCTAATTTTTTTGTATTTTTAATAGAGACGGGGTTTCACCATGTTGGCCAAGCTGGTCTTGAACTCTCAGGTGATCTGCCTGCCTTAGCCTCCCAAAGTGCTAGGATTACAGGCATGAGCCATGGCGCCTGGCCCTGCCCCATGGATTCTTAATGACAAAGGCCCAGGATAATGAATTAGGTGTTAAACCTGGGCCTCTCACACAGCACACCATTGTACAAGATGCATCCAATACTATTTATACTACACTCAAGATATTTTATGGCTTTAAAAAAACCTGACTTATTACATTGAAACATACTTTCCCTTGGAAACAACTTCCAGCAATTAAACCATTATAAATGACCTTCTGGAAGGCAAAGGAGAGTGATTTCATTAATCTAGACATAAAAAAAACAGAATTGTGACTAAAGACAAAATTCACTCCTTCATTTCACATTCACAATCCCTGTACCTGTTTAAAAATGCAGTTTTGCTAGGGAGGCAGTCACGTCAGAAATCTCAATAAAAGAAATTTAGAATTTCATTAGGTCAAAGAATTCATTAGGTCCACACCCAATAGCATCACTCCATGTTTCTAAAGTTTATTTCTAATTAACAGCAGAAGGCATACATAATATTTATTTGCTAATTGGAAATAAATTTTCATGATAAAGAATATTTAGGTCACTGATAACTGAATAAAGAGGAAAAAATAGTGAAACTCATTTTCAGTGTGGAGGGAGACGGGTAATGCCAGCTACAGGGACACAGGTCCCAAATCAGAGCCCTGTTGAGGGTTACTGCAGCAATCCAGGGAGAGAAGGTTGGCAGCCAGAATAGTGGCAGCAGAGACTAAAGAAGAAGCTAAGATACTTCCTTCCATGTCTGGATATCTTGCTCTAAAGGGAGTCCTAGAACCTCACAGTCCTGACACCCCACCCTCTGGACCTCCATGCTCACTCCTCACCTCTGCCTTACCTCCAATTGCTCTCAAACTCTCATTTATGGCCCTGAATTAAAAGGAGGTTCTTTGTCTTACTATAGCTGTCTAAAAACCCAGATTTCCAACCCTCATTTATCTCTCTCCTCTATCCACAGGATGAATTCCAAATTATATTAATTTGCCCCAGCTGGCCATGTATGGTGGCTCACGCCTATAATCCCAGCACTTTGGGAGGCTGAGGCAGGAAGACTGAGCCCAGGAGTTCGAGACCTGACTGGGCAACATTGCAAGATCTCATTTCTATTAAAAAAATAAAAATAAATAATTTGCCCCAGCTAAGAAAAACCACCTTCCATAAACCATTTAGACCATTTAGCCCTCAGGACCAGGGAACCGTATCTGTAAAGTACTGTTCTTGGTAACTTCCCATTCTGCCTAGGGCAACAGAGAAGGAAAGAAACAGATCCTGGGCCTCACCAAGGAACAAGATAAGGTTTTAAAAAATAAAAGTGAAAAAAACAAAAATGAAACTAATCAGAGATAGTTTCAAGGTTTTAGTTCCATGGTCAGGATAGACAGCATTAGGAGACTCAACAGAAAACCTTGAGATTCTAGAGTAAACTAATAATACTAATAACTATACATGTTAATATTATATAAAGTCACTATTTTATTTTTACTGTTATTATTGTTATAGAAGGAGGAATTACAAGTAAGTTCCAAGAAACACTGGAAGGTCTGGGAAATTGTAAATGTGATAGACTCTGGGAGCCGTGGAATTTCAGTAAGCTAGCTATATAAGCATTTTAGAATCAGGGCAAGCAGTTTTTAAATGGATGGAGTAAGACTGGAAATATAAGGTGGATATTCAGTAGAAGAAAATTCCTGTGGAATTTCAGTAAGCCAGCTGCATAAGTGTTTTAGAATCAGGGCAAGCAGTTTTTAAATGGATGGAGTAAGATTGGAAATATAAGGTGGATAGTCAGTAGAAGAAAATTCCTATTAGTAACCTGAATGTGAACGACTATAACTGGGGAATCTGGGTAGGTGGGTATAAATACAACTAAAAATGGACCATTCCCAAACTCACTGATTTTTATCTAATGCTGGCTTCTGGCAACTGAGACAAGTGGAAATGACTAAAAATGAATCAACTTTTGTTCTTTTTTAGATGGAGTTTTGCTCTTGTTGCCCAGGCTGGAATGCAATGGCACAATCTTGGCTCACTGCAACCTCTGACTCCTGGGTTCAAGCAATTCTCCTGCCTCAGTCTCCTGAGTAGCTGGGATTACAGGCAAGCACCACCACATCCGGCTAATTTTGTATTTTTAGTAGAAATGGGGTTTCTCCATGTTGGCCAGGCTGATCTCGAACTCCCGACCTCAGGTGATCCACCCGCCTTGGCCTCCCAAAGCGTTGGGATGATAGGCAATGAGCTGCCACACCCAGCCTGTTTTTTTTTTTTTTTTTTTGGAGACAGAGTCTCACTTTGCTGCCCAGGCTGGGGTGCAGTGGTCTGATCTTGGCTCACTGCAACCTCTGCTTCCCGAGTTCAAGCGATTCTCCTACCTCAGCCTCCTGAGCAGCTGGGATTACAGGCATGTGTCACCACACCCAGCTAATTTTTGTATTTTTAGTAGAAACGGGGTTTTACCATGTTGGCCAGGCTGGTCTCGGACTCCTGACCTCAAGTGTATCTGCCTGCCTTGGCTTTCCAAAGTGCTGACAGCAGGCATAAGCCACCATTTGATCAGGTAATTTTTGCAGTGTTTTTGATACGTTAATACCACATTATGGATCTTTATCAAAATAAAGTGGCAGCAATCTTAGAAGTGCAGATTTCACAAGGGGCCAGGATACATATCCCAGGTGCTCAATGGCCTTAGGTTTTTGTTTGTTGAAATCTCAGTAGTTTGAAGTTGATAAATTGTCTCTATAGCAAAAGTACGGTAAGACAGGCACAGTGGCACGTGTCTATAATCTCAGCTACTCAGGAGGTTAAGGCAGGAGGTTTGCTTGCACCCAAGAGTTCAAGACCAGCCTAACACCCCACTACCAAAAAAGAAACTAACAATAAAACAACTTCTAGCTACCCAACATTTTTACAACCTACCATCTATAGAAGTTCAGTAATTTTGCAGGAACATTACGGTAAGTGTCGATAACATCCACAAAAACAATATCATCATAGATGCTGCTTTCCTCCTTCAGTAAGGCGTCCTCCTCATGGAGATTCCTTGTATGATCAACAAGTCTTTGAGGCCGAGAATGAAGGTTGTGTAAGAGAGTATCACCTTCTAAAAAGGAAAAGTTGACAGTTGGAGAAAAATGCTATTGTAAATTTACCACTGAGAACTTATAACATATGCTAAAGTTCTTTTTCCAAGGCAACGTAACAGAATACAAACAGTTGTTTGGAACTTTAGGTAGGAAAATGGGAACTCTCATACACTCCAGTAGGAGAATTAGGTAGACGCTCCCACTTTGGAGAGCAGTTTTTGGCAATATCTATTTAGGCTGAAAATGTGTAAACCTTAGGGCTCAGTTGATGACACTTGTAAATATATACCAACATTATTTTACATGGTCATGAGGATATTAATTATAGCATTGTTTGTAATTGTGGAAGAAAAATGGGACCAACCTAAATATCCACTGAGAGAAAAAAAAAATAGCCAAGTTGTGGTATATTCACATAATGAAATATGGCAGTTAAAACAATTAACCTGATCTTGCATGTTAAGAGGATTGGCATGGAAAAATAAAGTTGAGTGAAAACTGCCAAGTGATATATGCAATATGATACCATAGGTATCAGTTATAAAATATTCAAAACTATATTATTTAAAGACATGTTCAGGTGTGGTGGCTTATCATGTCCCAGCACTTTGGGAGGTAGAGGTAGGAGAATCGCTTAAGCCCAGGAGTCTGACATCACTCTAGGTAATAAAGGGAGACCCCATCTCTAATTAAAATTTAAAAATTAGCCAGGCATACTGGTGCATGCCTCGGGTCCCAGCTGCTCAAGAGGTCAAGGCAGGTGGATCCCTGGAGCCCAGGAGTTCAAGGCTGTAGTGAGCTATGATTATACCACTGCATTCCAGCCTGGGCAACACAGCAAGACTGTCTCAAATAAAGAGATGTAAATATGTTGAAAGTAGAAAAATAAGAATGGGAAGGGTACACATGAATTTTAGGAAAGTGGAACCTTTGAGGAGAAGGAAGAGGAATGTGTCTACGGAGAACCACAAGGGGAAGGTTTCAATCAGACCTACAATATATATATTTTTGAGACAGAGTCTCCCTCTGTCATCCAGGCAGGAATGCACTGGTGTGATCTTGGCTCACTGCAACCTCCACCTCCTGGGCAAGTGATTCTCCTGCCTCAGCCTCCCGACAGCTGGGATTACAAGCATGTGCCACCACACCTGGATAATTTTTGTATTTTTAGTAGAGACAAGGTTTCACTATGTTGGCCAGCTGGTCTCAAACTCCTGACCTTAAGTGATCCACCTGCTTCAGCCTCCCAAAGTGCTGGGATTACAGGCATGAACCACCACACCTGGCATATAATGGGTTTTTTTTTTTTTTGAGAGAGTCTCAGTCTGTTGCCCAGACTGGAGTACAGTGGCGTGATCTTGGCTCACCGTAATCTCCACCTCCTGGGATTAAGGATTCTCCTGTCTCAGCCTCCCTCATGAGTAGCTGGGATTACAGGCGCCAGCCACCACACCCGACTAATAGTTTGTATTTTTAGTAGAGGTGGGGTTTTGCCATGTTGGCCAGGCTGGTCTTGAACTCCTAACCTCAGGTGATCTACCCATCTCAGCCTCCCAATGTGCTGGGATTAAAGGTATGAGCCACCATGCCCAGCCATGTTTTCTTTCTTTCTTTTTTTGAGACAGAGTTTCACTCTTGTTGCCCCGGCTGGAGTGCAATGGCACGATCATGGCTCATTGTAACCCTTGCCTTCTGGGTTCAAGCAATTCTTCTGCCTCAGCCTCCCAATTAGCTGGATGTGCCACCGCATCCAGCTGGTTTTTTATTTTTAGTAGAGATGGGTTTTCACCATATTGATCAGGCTGGTCTTGAACTCCTGACCTCAAGTGATCCACCCGCCTCCCAAAGTGATTACAGATGTGAGCCACCGTGCCCAGATGCATGTTTTATTTCTTAAAAAAAAAAAGAAGAAAAAAAAAGAATCAGAAGCAAATATGAAAAAATGAAAACATTTATTAATTCTGAGCACTGGGTACCTTTTTTTTTTTTTTTTTTCCCCCGGTGGGGGCAGGGGGGGACAAGGTCTTGTTCTATTACCCAGGCTGGAATGCAGTTGTGCAATTACAGCTCACTGCAGCCTCAACTTCCTGGATTCAAGTGATCCTCCCACCTCAGCTTCCCAAGTGGCTGGTAGTACAGGCACCTGTCAACACACCTGGCAAATTTTTAAGTTTTTAGTAGAGATGGGGTCTTACAATGTTGTCCTGGCTGGTCTCAAACTCCTGGGCTCAAGAGATCCTCTTGCTTCAGCCTCCCATTCTGGGATTATAGGCAAGAGCCACGGTGCTTGGCCATGATATTTCATAATAAAAATGATTATTAATGTGCTTAAAAGACAATTTATTTGCCACTTCACAAGTTAATGAGTCACTTGTCACGTACATGCAGGGACTGTCCCTGGAACCTACTGATTTAAGGCAATTCTTTCACTGTGGCAGAAGTCAGGATTTTCTAAAAATGTCTCAAAGAAAAATTCTGAAAAAATATAAAGAAAGTGAGCTGCTGAGGGTGGCGAAGGAAATGAAATGTAATTTAGCACTGTACACTGTCACTGCAAATGGAAAGGATGAGGTGGGGAGTTGTGGCCTGTATCTGACTTCTGCCTCTGCCATGACTTGTGACACTGGACAAGTTCTATTGTCTCTAGACCACAGCAGTCTCACCTGAAGAAAATGGAGCTGGATTTAATCAGTGATTCTTGGGAATGCTTGCTGAAATGCAGATTCCTGGGCCCTAAGCCTAAAGATTCAGTAGGTCTGGGGTGGAGCGCAGGAATCTATTTTTTTCCCTCTCCCCTGCTCCCAGGAATCGGTATTTTTAATGGCCACTGCTGCGACCCTGATGCAGGTAAATCACAGACAGAACAAAGACCAGCCTTTGAGAAACACAGGGCTAGATGACCTCCTGTTTAGACTTACAATTTTTTGACTTTATGATAATGTAAAAACAATATGTGTTCACCAAAACCATGGTTTCAGTATACATGCAACCATTCTCTCATGTGACTACAGTCTTTAATTGTATTTAATTTAATGAGAGATGTTCAACCCTTATTAGGGAATAGGCTTTGTGTTAAGATGATTTTGCCCAACTGTAGGCTAGTGTTCTGAGCAAGTTTAAGGTAGGTGAAGCTAAGCTATAACATTCGGCAGGCTACGTGTATGAAATGCATTTTCAGCACACATTTTTAACTTAAGATGGGTTCAGCAGGATGTAACATCCTTACGATGTCAAGGGGCATCTATAATAATTTAACACTTGAAGGAAAGTATTATAAAACTGTAGTAATAGGAAAAAAAAAATTGTAGTAACAGGAAAACGGCTTGTAACAACAGGAGCACAGAAATGAAATACAAGCCCTATAGACTAGTAACACATTTTGTTTCAACTGCATGTATCTGAAAAATATGAGTAAAAATTACTATGTCAGGAACACAAAAGACATCTGCTTTTACCGCTTCTGTCCAACATATATGTTTTAACCAGGACAATCAGATAAGAAAAATAAAAGGCATCCAGATTGAAAAGGAAGAAGCAAAACTCTCTCTTCTTACAGATGAAATGACCTTGCATATAGAAAATCATAAGGTAACTATACAATGATTAAATAATACATGGACCAGTTCAGCAATATTGCAGCACACAGATCAATACACAAAACCAACTGTATTTCTAGAACTTACAATCAAGAAGCTTGAAATAAAATTAGAAAAACAATTCCCCTTACAATAGCATCAAAAATTTAACAAACATTTAAGAATAAATTTCAGGAGATCGAGACCATCCTGACCAACATGGTGAAACCCTGTCTCTACTAAAAATAAAAAGAAATGAGCTGGGTGTACTGGCACATGACTGTGGTCCCAGCTACGCGGGAGGCTGAGGCAGGAGAATTGCTTGAACCCAGGAGGTAGAGATTGCAGTAAGCCAAGATAGCAACACTGCACTACAGCCTGGGGGACAGTGTGAGACTCTGTCTCAAAAAAATAAAAAGAATAAATTTAACAAAATAAGTTCAAGACTTTTATACTGAAAATCAAACATAATTGAAGGAAATTTGATAAGACATGGATGTTCAGAGACTTAATACTGTTAACATGGCAATACTTCCCAGGTTGATCTACAGATAGAATGCAATCTCTGATGGGAACGTAAACTAGTACAACCACTATGGAAAACAGTGTGGAGATTCCTTAAATAACTAAATGTAGATCTACCATTTGATCCAGCAATCCCACTACTGGGTATCCAAAGGAAAATAAGTCATTATACAAAAAAGATACTTGCACATGCATGTTTATAACAGGGCAGTTCACAATTCAAAGGTGTAAGAATCATACAATGGCTATTGGGGACTCGGTGGGGAAAGGGTGGAAGGAGGGTAGGGATAAGAGTACAGGTTGGTTACAGTAGGGTGATGGATGCACCAAAATCTCAGAAATCACCACGAAAGAACTTATTCAGTGGACGAAATGGTTCACACCTGTAATCCCAGAACTTTGGAAGGCTGAGGCAGACAGATCACAAGGTCAGAAGTTCAAGACCAGCCTGGCTAACACGGTGAAACCCTGTCTCTACTAAAAATATAAAAATTAGCCCAGCATGGTGGCGCACATCTGTAATCCCAGCTACTCGAGAGGCTGAGGCAGGATAATCTCTCGAACCCGGTAGGCAAAGGTTGCAGTGAGCTGAGATTGCACCACTGCATTTCAGCCTGGGTGACAGAGCAAGACTCCGTCTCAGAAAAAAAAAACCTAAAAATAAATAAATAAATAAAATAACTTATTCATGAAATCAAACACCACCTGCTCCCCTAAAACCTACTGAAATTAAAATATTATACACACACACACACACACACACACACACACACACGCATGAATGCAATCCCTTAAAACAGCCTAGCTAGGTTTTTTCTTTTTTGCACAAATTGACAAGCTGATCATAAAATTCACATGGAAGTACAAGAGACCCAGAATAGCCAATCGAACTTGAAAAAGAACAAGGTTGGAGGATTCACATTTCCCAATTTCAAATCTTACTAAAAAGCTCTATAATCAGGACAGTGTAGTACACAGACATGTAGAGCAATGGGATAGAGTCCAGAAATAAACCCTTACATTTACAGTCACTGACTTCCAACAAACGGGTGCTAGGACAGCTGGATATCTACATGCAAAAAAATGAAGTTAGACCTCCATTTCACACCGTGTATGAAAATGAACGCGGATCCAAGACCTACACATAAGTGCTACAACTATAAAACTCTTGGAACTGTAAAAGGCACGCACAGATCTTTGTAACCTCACATTAGACAATGGTTCCTTATATATGACAGCAAAAACACATGACAAAATTGGACTTCAAAATTTACAACTTTTGTGTGTTAAAGGGCACCATTTGCAAAGCATGTATCTGATAAGGGACTTGTATCCAGAATATATAAAGAACTCTTATAATTCAACAATAACAAAATACTCTAATATTATAAATGGGCACAGGATCTGAACAGATATTTCTCTAAAGACATACAAATGACTCACTCTCTATCCCCTCTCTTATTCCTTCCCTCCCTCCGCCCCTCACTCCCTCCCTCCATAATAATTTACCCTTTTAACAATATGTAGCTTGAGCAGTATGACGAAACCCGGCCTCTACAAAATATTTAAAAATTAGCTGGGCATGGTGGCATGCACTTGTAGTCCTAGCTATTCAGGAGGCTAAGATGGGAAAATCACTTGAGCCCAGGGAGGTCGATGCTGCAGTGAGCTGTGATCATGCCACTGCACTCCAGCCTGGGCAACAGAGTGAGGTCCTGTCTCAAAAAAAGAAAAACAAAACAAAAAAAAAAGGAAGATATACAAATGGCCAATAAGCACATGAAAAAAATGCTCATCATTAGTTATTATGGGAATACAAATAAAAATCACAATGAAGTAACAATTTACACGCACGAGGATTGGTATATGTTAAAAGACAGACAATAGTAAGTGTTGATAAGGATTTGGAGAAACTAGAATCCTCCTACACTGACTATGGAAATGTAAAATGGGCTGCTGCTGTAGAAAACAGTCTGGCAGCGCCTCAAATGATTAAACACAGAATTATATGACTCAGAGCTTTAAGAGAAATGGAAACATATGACCACACAAAAACTTGCACCTACATGTTTACTACAGAATTATTCATATTAAAAAAAAGTAGAAGCAATCTAAATGTCCATCAATTAATGAATGAAATAGTGTATTATCTATGCAATGGAATATTATATGATCATAAAAAAGAATGACACATACACAATGGATGGATCTAGAAAACATGTTACATCAAAGAAACTAGACACACAGAGCACATACTGTACATTTCCATTTATGTGAAATGTTCAAAATAGGCAAATCAATAGAGAAAGAAAGTATATCAGTAGTTGTCAGGGTTGGAGGTGGGGGAGGGAAGAATGAGTAACTGCTAATGGGTTGTGGGGTTTCCTTTTGGGAGATGGAGCAGGCTGTAGAACTCTATGAATAAACTGAAACCACTCAATTAACCACTTTAAAAGGGTGAATTTTATCTGAATAAAGTTTCTTAAATGACAAAAAAAAAAAACTCTTTTTATGTCAAGTACAACAATTAAGTGTATGAGATTCAGTGTACTTTTTAAGTTTCAACCAGCCAACTTACCCTGAATAGTATATATAAAACCGCCTGCAACTCCCTCCACACCTTCCAAGAATTCATGAGGCAATGCACCCTCCCCAGCCTGAAAGGAATAAGAATAGAAGTGTACTCAACGTTTCGTTACTAAAAATACATGTATCACATTTTAAAATCGATTTGACAGAAGTCATAAAAATAGTATTCTACTATTTTTATTATCTAATAATACTAAAGATAAGGTAAACCCAACAGTCCCTAAGGTGTTGAGAACTGCAACTTACACAGAATCATGTTTATGTTACTTGCTACTTTAATAGTACAAAAAGCAATTTATTTTACATCCCAACCCCACTACTTAAAAAAATATATATTACAACCTTAGATTTTTTGGAAACTAAAAATTCTCATGAGTTCGAATATATCTTGGCACATTTTAAAGTTAAGTGACCATGCAGAGAAAAGCTCAAAATCAACAGTCTGTCCCAAATACTCAAATGGAACCCTACTGAATATATAATATATATATATATATATATTTTTTTTTTTTAATTTGTTTTTTTAAAATAAGAGATGGGGTTTCACCAAGTTGGTCAAGGCTGACCTCATGATCTGCCCGTCTTGGCCTCTCAAAGTGCTCGGATTACAGGCGTGAGCCATCGTGCCCGGCCTTGTTTAAGCTGCCTTTAGCCCTCTATAATAATTTTTACTCCCACAGCAGATCATTTGAGTCTTTACATTTTAATCTAGCTCTCAACTCAGAAATAAACATTTCTTTTAGTGTAACCAGTACTATAGAATTTTGGCATATGCTGGATATTTTAAAGTTTCATAAATAGAAAAGGAGGCAAGATAATAAGACTTAAAATGAACATTAGTACACAAGTGGTGTGTCTGTTTACTAAAGTAAACACCATCTTTATCTTCCTACATTTACTTTATTAAATTTACCTGTCATCATAAATCCCAAATCTTAAACACGAATAAAAGCCTAAACATGGCCTGCAAATCTAAATGTATGATTACATATGAATTTATAGGTCTATTTGTTTAATGTTGTTCTTCCTCACTGGACTGTAAGTTCCACTGTGGGCCACTACTATGTCTATTTTACCCTGCCATTGTGTCTGCCTTAGAACAGGTGTGCAGTAAATGTTTTTTGAATGAATAACAACATATCACATAATATTCATTTCAAACTCAGAAATTAATTCCTGTGAATGAGGTTAATATTTAATAACATCACTAAGCTTGTGAATTTAAATGCCAAGTATATTCCTAATCATGAGACCGGAGATCAAGAAGAACAAAAGATTGTCTACAATTCCACCATACACACCACTTGTTTACTAAAGTTCATTTTAAGTGTTCATACACCTTCTTTATTGTCCTATGTTTACACTGAGAAATTCACCTGTCAAACTGTTTTAAATTTAAAGCCAATCTGAATGAGAAATATGAGAGTCAGAAATCCCAGAGTTGCTTCAGCAAAATAAATGTAAGTACTCAATCTTTTCTTTTCTTTTCTTTTCTTTTTTTTTTTTTTTTTTGAGAAGAAGTCTCCCTCTGTTGCCCACGCTGAAGTGCAGTGGCATGATCTCAGCTCACTGCAACCTCCATCTCTGGGGTTCTAGCAATCCTCCTACCTCAGCCTCCCGAGTAGCTAGGATTATAGGCATGTGCCACCATGCCTGGCTAATTTTTTGGTATTTTTAGTAGAGACAGGGTTTCATCATGTTGACCAAGCTGGTCCCAAACTCCTGACCTCAAGTGATCCGCTCATCTCAGTCTCCCGAAGTACTGGGATTATAGGTATGAGCCACAGCACACCCCTCCTTGTTTTCCAGTATTTGTATCTATAGTATTTTGATTTTTTTTTTTTTTGAGAGAGAGTCTCACTCTGCCACCCAGGCTGGAGTGCAGTGGCATGATCTCAGCTCACCGCAACTTCTGCCTCACAGGTTCAAGCAATTCTCATGCCTCAGCTTCCTGCGTAGCTGGGATTCCAGGCGTGTGCCACCATGCCCGGCTAATTTTTGTATTTTTAGTACAGATAGGGTCTTGCTATGTTGCCCAGGCTGGTCTTGAACTCCTGGCCTCAAGTGATCCGCACACCTTGGCCTCCTAAAATTCTGGGATTATTGGTGTGAGCCACCATGCCTGGCTATCTATAATATTTTAATTAACATTTTATTTTCAAGGTGACATAGTGAATACTCTGAATACTACTAAGCAAATGCTCTTAAAGAATGCTAACTTAAAAATGACTGAGAAATAGGCTGGGTGCAGTGGCCCATGCCTGTAACACAGCACTTTGGGAAGCCTAGGTGGGCGGATCACTTGACCTCAGGCATTTGCAACCAGCTTTGGCAAATAGTGAAACCCCATCTCTACAAAAAATCCTCAGCCTCCCGAGTAGCTGGGATTACAGGCGTCTGCCACCCTGCCCAGCTAATTTTTCTATTTTTAGTAGAGATGTGGTTTCACCATGTTGGTTAGGCTGGTCTCAAACTCCTGACCTCGTGATCTGCCAGCCTCAGCCTCTCAAAGTGCTGAGATTACAGGCGTGAGCCACCACGCCTGGCCAAAATGCACCAATCTTAAGGCAAAACTGTTAACTCACTAATGCTGGAGTTACAGAATCATATTTGAGTTTTTCCCTTTACCATGATGAGTCAACAACATTTTCTACTATATATGTTACAAAACACAAGAGTCATCATTGCTCCATGCTGCCTGGGCTCTAAAGTAAATTTTACAACATGTTAAAAAGAGCTAAAGAATGCAAATCAACAGGAAGAAAAAAAGAGAGCTAAAGTATATAATTAAATCTTAAAAAAAAATGACTTACTGTAATGACTCTGAGAACTCCCCCTCCATCATTCACTGTCACTTTGTGAAGATTTCTTGACACAAGGCCATGGAGGTCTTGGCTTTCCCACACGATTGTACCTTCAAAGCTCTTTTGTGAAAAGATGAATAGTGAATCATTTTCCTTATTGTTGTCGTTTAGATTTTAAGTATGTTTTTAGGTAAGATTTTGGAGAAATTTTTTTCCCCAAGACATATCATTTAAAATTTTCACCCCACAGCTCTGACATACCATTGTTAACATTTACCTTGACCATTTTTTTCCATGCACATGTAAAAAACTAATTACAAGGAGTAAATGGACAATTTTGCATGCTGTTGTTTGCCATTTCCCATTGTATCAAAAGCATTTCCATATGATGTTGCAGCTGTCACAACCATTCTTCCTCATGTGTGTAACATCCCAATGAGCAGATGCATCCTGATTTACTCAAATTTTCCCATTTGGTTGCTACTAAATGTCTACTGAAGTATCTACTAAATTTATGTAGGCATATTTTGGTGTAAATGTTTATTTACCCCTAACATTTTGTTTTTTACTTAAATTCCCAGAGGTGAAGTTACTGGGACAAGAAAGAGGTATTTTTTGTGGATTTTGGTAAACACTGTCAACTGCTTTTTGAAAGCAATTTTTACTAATTTGTAGGGTTGTCAGCAATTTACAAGAATGACAATTGCACTGTACTTTCCCTGGTATGGGATATTAGTAAAAGAAAAGTTTAGGGCCGGGCCTGTGGCTCATGCCTGCAATCCCAGCACTTTAGGAGGCTAAGGCAGGCAGATCATGAGGTCGGGAGTTTAAGACCAGCTTGGCCAACATGGTGAAACCCTGTCTCTAAAAATAAAAAAAAATTAGCCGGGTGTGGCGATACACGCCTGTAGTCCCAGCTACTCAGGAAGCTGAGACAGGAGAATCGCTTGAATCTGGGAGGTGAGGTTGCAGTAAGCCGAGATTGCACCACTGTACTCCAGCCTGGCAACAGTGAGACTCCGTCTCAAAAAAAAAAAAAAAAAATATATATATATATATATATATATATATATAAAAAATTAGCCGGGCATGGTGGTACACGCCTGTAATCCTAGCTACTCACTCAGGAGGCTGAGGCAAGAAAATCACTTGAACCCAGGGGGAGATGGAGGTTGCAGTGAGCTGAGATCACACCTCTGTACTCCAGCCTGGACGAAAGGGCAAGTTTCTGTCTCAAAAAACAAAAAAGTTTAACCTACTATACTAGATTTTATTTTATTTTTTTGAGACAGAGTCTCGCTCTGTCACCCAGGCTGGAGTGCAGTGGTGCAATCTCGGCTTACTGCAACCTCCGCCTCCCAGGCTCAAGCAATTCTCCTGCCTCAGCCCCCTGAGTAGTTGGGATTCCAGGTGCCTGCCACTATGCCCAGCTAAGTTTTTGTATTTTTAGTAGAGACAGGGTTTCACCATCTTGGCCAGGCTGGTCTCGAACTCCTGACCTCTTGATTCGCCTGCCTCAGCCTCCCAAAGTGTTGGATTACAGGTGTGAGCCACCGCACCCAGACATATACTAGATTTAAAAAAAATGATTCCTCATTTAGTTGGATTTGTTTTTTATTTTTATTTTTTGACACAAAGCCTTGTGCTGGCACCCAGGCTAGAGTCCAATGGTGCAATCTTGGCTCACTACCACCTTTGATCCCTGGGTTCAAGCGATTCTCCTGCCTCAGCTTCCTGGGTAGCTGGGATTATAGGCGCTCACCATCACGCCAGGTTAAATTTCGTATATTTAGTAGAGATGGGGTTTTGCCATATTGGCCAGGATGGTCTGGAACTCCTGACCTCAAGTCATCTGCCAGCTTTGGCCTCAGCCTCCCAAAGTGCTGGAATTGCAAGCATGAGCTCTCTCACCTGGCATCATTTAGTTGGATTTCTGATTCCTAGTGATGTTTATGAATTGCATGTTGTCTTCTGAGAACTGCCTTATCATGCTGCTTTGCCATTTGGGCTCTGAGTTTTCTATTTTTCTTATTCAACTATGCAAGCTTTTAACAGAATAATTATTTTAATCCTGTGCACATTTTATATGCTAAAATAGTTTATCATTTGCTACTTAATGTTATTTTTGAAATTCAGAAGTCCATAAATTTTACCTTGGCAAATTTGATGAACTTTTCATTTGTGATTATTACTATTCAATTCTAAGCTTAGAGAGCTATGCCCCCCTGTCCTAAGGTCTGATATACACTGAAATCTTAATGTCTTCTAACTTCTCCATGATCTCATTTTTAATTCTGTGCACACCTGGCTCCTTAGTCCTGCTCGGGTCTCGGGCTCCACAATTTTCTCCTCTGAGAGGCTTTCTCCAGATGTCCTACAGAAGGCTCCAACTCCCAACTTCTATCACATCAATCTGTTTTTTCTTCTTAATACCATTTATCACTCTGGTATTTCTTATTTTCTCATTATTAAACTAACTGCCTCTACTAGAAGACAAGCACCTTGAGAACAGGAAAGGGCTTCTCGGAGCAACCACAAACATCCTCAGCATCTAGCACGGCCTGACATAACTGAAAACTCAAAATGTCTGCTGAATAATGTTGAACTAAAAATCAACTAGGATTGACTATGACATAGAGGATTAAATGCAAGATACAGCTCTAATACTCTAAAAACTTTCATATGGGGCCGGGCGCGGTGGTTCACACCTGTAATCCCAGCACTTTGGGAGGCCGAGGCGGGTGGATCACAAGGTCAAGAGATCGAGACCATCCTAGTCAACATGGTGAAACCCTGTCTCTACTAAAAATACAAAAAATCAGCTGGGCATGGTGGCACGTCCCTGTAATCCCAGCTACTCAGGAGGCTGAGGCAGGAGAATTGCCTGAACCCAGGAGGCGGAGGCTGCAGTGAGCTGAGATCGCGCCATTGCACTCCAGCCTGGGTAACGAGAGCGAAACTCTGTCTCAAAAAAATAAAAAAATAAAAATAAAAAAATAAAAATAAAATAAAAAATAAAAACTTTCATATGTTAAAATTAAGAGATAAAGTACAATAATGTTTCATTTTAGCCAGCATCATAGGGAAACCATACAAAATCAAATTTGTCTGATAAGCTAGGTCAGTTTTGTAAACTTTTTTTTCCCTGTATACAGAGTGATATACACTTTTTCTTTTTTTTAAAGAAATAATACTTTTTTTCTCCACCAAAACAGGTAAAAATATTCCAATAGTCTGGATTCCTCAGGCAATTTATCACTTTCTATTCAGTTAATGAATCCTTAATCTTCATTATCTGTGAAACTCCGATGCACTGTGTGGGGCCCTGGGGTTCTCAGAGCAGATTTTGCAGACATACCTTAAAGCAGTGTCATGATTTCCTAATCTTTAAAAGAGAGAAAATGATACCAATTCTCAAAGGGCTATTTGGAAGTGATAAAACAGATTTGAAGTGCCTTTGCTTAGTAAAATAGTACCTTTATTACCATCAAAAGGCACACAGAAATTGAACTTCTTCTTTAAAATATTTGATTTTCGGCGGGGCATGGTGGCTCACGCCTGTAATCCCAGCACTTTGGGAGACTGAAGCAGGCAGATCACGAGGTCAGGAGTTCAAGACCAGTCAGACTAGTAGAAACCCTGTCTCTACTAAAAATACAAAAATTAGCTGGGCATGGTGGCATGTTCCTATAATCCTAGTCACTTGGGAGGCTGAGGCAGGAGAATTGCTCAAACCAGGACCCGGGAGGCAGAGGTTGCAGTGAGCCAAGATCACGCCACTGTACTCTAGCCTGGGCTAAAGAGCGAGACTCGATATAAAAAAAAAAAAAAAAAAAAAAAAAAAAGATTCCATTTCTGTATCTTTGAAATAGGTGCTGACTGTTTCTATACGTTCTCTCTTTTGAAAGATTTTTTTTTTCTTTTCAATCCTGTTTCTTCTGTAGGCCTTAACATTCTCTTAAACTTTAGGTCAAATCTGAAAATTAAATCCCTACATATGGGGAAACATTTCTTTTTTTTTTTTTTTTTTAATTTTTGGAGACAGTCTTGCTCTGTGGCCCAGGCTGGCGTGCAGTGGCACAATCTCGGATCACTGCAACCTCTGCCTCCTGGGTTCAAGCAATTCTCCTGCCTCAGCCTCCCAAGTAGCTAGGACTACAAGCACACGCTGCCACACTCAGCTAATTTTTTGTATTTTTTAGTAGAAAATGGGGTTTCACTGTGTTCCCCAGGCTTGTCTCAAACTTCTGAGCTCAGGCAATATGCCTGCCTCATCCTCCCAAAGTGCTGAGATTACAGGTGTGAGCCACTGCGCCCAGCCTCGTTTTTGTTTCTTTTCAAGATGAGTCTCACTCTGTTGCCCAGGCTGGAGTGCAGTGATGCGATCTTGGCTCACTACAACCTCTGCCTCTGGGTTCAAGCAATTCTCCTGCCTCTGCCTGCTGAGCAGTTGGGACTACAGACACATGTCATTGCATCTGGCTAATTTTTGTATTTTTAGTAAAGACAGGGTTTTGCCATGTTGGTCAGGCTGGTCTTGAACTCCTGACCTCTAGTGATCTGCCTGCCTCGGCCTCCTAAAGTACTGGGGATTACAGGCATGTGCCACCATGCCCAGCCCCAGAGGAAACAACATTTCTAACAATTGGGAAGAACTGCATGATTGAAGCTTAATTAGTAAAATCAGTATCTTAAGACAATGTATCAAACATATCAACTGGCCACTATAGGAAGGTTGGGTTAAGAGAAAAATTCTGGCAAGGTAGCAATGTCGAGGGGTAGAAAGATGCAATAATTGGAAGATAAGCATTTTGGTCACATTCTACCTAGATAAAATAGCACTCTAAAACGCCCACTCTTCCACTGTTATAATCAAGTTCAATGCCCAAATCTAGCACAGTTCAGATTTAGCTTTTTAGGTATCTTGACATACTAGGTAGGAGGTTCCTAGATACGGAACCTAAGCACTGAAATCACTTGCATGAGCCAACAGCATTAAAGATGAATGAATTGACATTTTGGTTTATGCACCGATTTTCTGTGAACTTATACATGAATGTGTAATTTCTCAGAGATGATGAATCTGATCATCTCTAGGTGAACTGGAAGGTCAGTGTTAG